AGATGACCAAACTGACCATGGATGATAACATTGGTTAATCTATAAGCAATTTGGGAAACGATTAACTCACCTCTCTCTCTCTCTCTCTCTCTCTCTCTCTCTCCTCTCATGTTAAAACATATTATCCCTTCTCTCCCTTACATCTCCTTCAATGAAATGAACTTCATCGTCAATGGCCATTGAGGGAAATATTTATTTGAAGAATATTTAGAATTTTAATTGGGTCTTAGATTTTTATTTAATTTATTGAGATGATATGACTTATTGTAGACTCAAGTTAGAGTAAATTCATGAATAAATAATCCAGCTATATTTAACAGCTTGATATAAAATAAATAATAATATATATATTGACACCATGTTGCATAAGAATTATCAGCATCAAACGATTTGAATTGAAGGGCAGGCTTTCTCAATCCCAAAACTTTTTACTTCCAATATTTTTTTCCCAAAATGTCTCTCATAATTTTTTTCCCAAAATGTCTCTCATAATTTTTTTCAAACTTACATGTTAAAACATATGCGCTTTCTAGTTTTTTTCATATTATTGGTAATATTCAATGGAAACATACATGGATATTGTATATGCCCTCCCTCTCCTTGGTTGTAAATTTCAAGCCATTCATATTGCTTATGAACAATAGCTTCACTAATACAAAATAGGTGAATGTAATAACTATATATATTGGCACGTAAATTGTTGTCTTAGACGAGAGGGAGAGAGAGAGAGAGAGAGAGAGAGAGAGATGGAGATGCAATAACACTAGGGGTAGTGATTCGTCATCATATTAAATAATATAAATAGACTATTTGAGATTTAATGACTCTCAAATTCAATAATACATTCCTATCTAAGAAGCCAAGTCAATAAATCACCAAATTTAATACTATAATATATTATGAAAATCATCAACATATTTGGCGAAAAAATAAATTGCAATAATAATTAGTAGTGTGAACAAGTAGAATAAGTCTGAAGCCTAGCTTAGCCCAACCCAAACTCCATTTACATTCCTCCCCCATTCTCTCTCTCTCTCTCTCTCTCTCTCTCTCTCTCTCTCTCTCTCTCTTTCTCTCTTTCTCTCTACAGGGGAGAGATATTTGGAGGGGTTGACATGAGGAAATAATCACTAATTCTATATATAAGGGGTTAGCATAATAATCTATATAACACTATGGCTCTTCCATTTTGCGTTTTCATGCCAATATGTTTACCCTTTGGAAAAGCTCCCTGAAATATAATACACCAAGCATCAGTCAGACCCACCTGACTACTTCTTAACAACCATATATAGACCATAACTTCAGAATTTAAAGGGGAAAGAACAAAAGCATAGCACGAATATGAGACTTTTGTGGGAATAAATGGAATAAATTTTTACATAATTCGATATTCAGACAAGTTATTTGATGATAAAATACATTTAAATGGTTCCAAACATTATCCTGATAAAACTTTAGGGTTCTCACCCTGATTTCGCCCATCAGGAACCAAATTAGTGCTTTGGACACTTTTGTGACACCTCAAAATAGATATAATGTGAAAAATTATAACTCATAAAAATCATCTTCGAAGATTTTCTGATAATTTATGATATAAAAAAATAAAAGCACAAAAAGATAAAGACAATCATGGGAATATAATTTTTATTAGGTGAAATAATAAGAACACAGATACTATAAGGTTGAACGAGCGTGAAAATTTTCACAATTTGTAGTCTTAAAATAATAATAATAAAAAGAAAAAAAGAAGAAGATAAAATATATGATAAAAAAAAATATAATTTTCCTTATGAGAGACCGGAAAATCCCATCTTGTTACCTTCATTGTCAGAGGAAGCAGAAGGCATGGCAACCTCTAAGTATATCCATGAATAAACCCACAGCCCGCTTCATCACACCCAGACAGCATGAGAGGAGAACCAAGCTACATAAATCATAGCTCATCTCTGATTACTGTAGAACAGAGAAGAGATGGAACAGCATGAGAAAATTCTTGGAGAAAATCAAATGACAAACTATAGATCAGTCAAATAAGATCGAAACATTAATTAAGGAAAAAATGAGGGAAAATGCAGGCATTTTCTTCTGACAGATGAGAGATGAAGTATTTTTGTAGCATCAACTGCAAAGGGTTTCAGTTATGGCATTTCGATCAGCAATAAGGGTTTCAGTTAAAGCTCTTTCTAGTTGATCTAAGAAATCATTTGGTTATCTCACTTCTCAAGAACAGCAGAAACATGTGAAAAAATAGCTACTTATTTATTTCCTTTCTGGGAATAGGAGGAAGGGGGGTGGGGGGTTGACTACAGAGATCTCAAAGTTGCCTCTTGCTTCTATCTTGAGATACACAGTCTTTCAAGTTCACAAGAACATTGCTGCAGAATTAAGAGAGAATAAAAGTGGTGCACAGCGATTCATGCATGTCTTGCGATTTATGTACCTATGTCAATTCCAACAGGAGGGAATGAAACGATTTCAAGCTACTTGGTGGGTTCTCATTAACAATACCTAGGGTTTGGAAGTAATGCTTAGTATGTGCATAGAAAGATGGCAAATCGAGATGTTTTAAAGGGATGGTTTCCTCCTTCTCATAAGGAATGACAGAAGCAAACCAATACTTTGCCTTACACAATGAAACAAAAAAGCAGAGGTTGACAAAGGTATCCTTGATGTCTATAAGAAGAAAGACAATTCTTCCAAGTGAGAAGAGTATTCCACGTACAAATCCTACAAAACCTAAACAGTAAGGGCGGATTAACAAGTATATTAAGCGCTTGCAGTGCTCCATGATCAGGTGGCCATCCTCGTCAAGAATCGGGGTGTTAACATGATCAGATCTCCCTTGTTAAGGTCTGTGAACTTTTATTTTTCTCATGCTAGTGCTTTTAGTCAGTAATGCCCTCGTATCAAGCATATCAAGCAAATCAAATCAAGCATAAGTGATTCTAAATGCAGCTACCATGATGATAATATGTGGATATTGTGCACCGTTCCCTTCATTTTCCATCACATTGAGCATAGATGGCTTCACTTTTTGCAGTAAACTTAAAACACGCCCAGTGGAAAAGATAAGGTCAAGATGAAGAACGGGCATCATTAGCTAGAGCACAAGACTTAATTAGGTTCTCAGATTTCCAACCCACAAAGGGTTACTTCTGATAAACATGCTCTAAAGTGCAGGGTTTCTGATTGTAGGCACATGGAATGAACCGCAAAAGGATAGAGGCTGGACACAGCAGCAAAGGAAAACGCCCAGGATTATGTAGCAAGGTGAAGGAGGCGTGCTTCAAGTTACCCGGCCAATTGATCAGCGAGGAAGATGCTTAGCTTGATGAAGCCTCATTGGAATTCTTCCTGTATCTATATAAGGGATGGTCTAAAAACTCGATGCTCCAAGATGCACTGCAGACAGATGGAAAATGTGTGGACGGCATGCCAACAGGAACACTCATGGATTCCTGGTGCTTGCCTTTAAGATAACTGCCTTTCTATTCTCAATGTCGTTTATCCCATCACTGCCTTAGACAGCAGGAAAGTGGAAGAGAAATCCTCATTCCCTCGCTCGAAACCTCTGAAAGCGATGTTGATACCCATTTCGTTGGCATCACTCCGCCCGATACAAGATACGAGCTTTGGTATCCATCTAAGATGCAACAGCGAAATCATCTTGCACCACTCCGATTTCCCCGCTACCTGTAGGTTGATTGAATGAGGAAAACCATCAATTGACTGGTTAAATTGACCAGCTTTAAGCCCAAATTGGAGGCTGTCCCAAGAAAAATGATCATCTACAAGGCAAATAACTGGATTCAGAATGCAATTCGCATGGGCAATCACCGCAAGATGTAAGAACAGTTGAATGGATGTAGTCATCCACATCAAAACCTTCTGCCTGCATGTGGAACATGAGCCTGAGAGCCTCTTTGCAGAGCCCATTCTTCGCATATCCTGTAACCATCGCCTTCCATGAGACACAATTGCGCTCTGGCATCATGTCAAAGATTTTAACAGCATCCTCAGGGAACCCACACTTCATGTACAGGCTGATGAGAGAGTTGCCCACGAACAAATTAAGCAGATGACGAGTCTTATTTGCGGCCGCATGGATCCGCTTTCCCTGACCCACGTCCTCTAACCGGGCGCATGCTTTCAGAGCCGAAGAGTACGTAAATGGGTTCGGCTTGATGCCCTCCAATAGCATCTGGTTTAAGAAAACAAGGGCCTCAAAGCCGTACCCATGGTTGGTGTAGCCCGTGATCATCGCCGTCCATGGGATCACATCCTTTGTCGGCAATGTTTCCAACACCCTACTGGCGTAGTCGTACTCGCCGCATTGGCAATAAAACCATATGAGAGTGCTGCTGATGTGAACGCTGCTCTGGTTGGACCATTTCAGTGTAAGCCCATGGATCTCCTTCCCCAGGAGGAGCGACCTCATCGACCCGAGCGCACCAAGAACACTGACAACCGTCAGATTATTACCAGAAATACGCCGGTTTTTCATCTTCCGGAATAAGTTTACTGCCTCCTCTGCGAAGCCATTTTGGGCGTACCCTGCGATCATGGACGTCCAAGTCACGGTGTTCCTGCTTGGCATTTGATCAAACACTACCTTGGCATCCAAGACCTCGCCGCATTTGGCATACATGAACACAAGGGAGCTCCCGACGAACACATCCTCCATGAACATTCCCTTCACCACAGCACCGTGCAGCTGTCTACCCAGCTTCAAGGTCCTCTCTTCTCCACAGGCCTTCAGAATGCTAGCCACAGTGAACTCGTTGGGGAGAAAGGCACGATGTTGCATCTGTGAGAACATAGAGAAGGCCTTGGTGCCCTCCCCATGTTGAGCGTAAGCCGTGATCATCGTCGTCCAGCAGACAACATCCCGCTGCGGCATTCTATCGAACAACGCAGATGCACTGGCGAGATCACCGCACTGGACGTAGAAATACAGCAAGGCGCTGTCCACAATCAAATTTCTCCACTTACCTTTGATGATGGAGGCATGGACGAGCTTCCCCAACTCGCAATCCAAGACCTTGCTGCAGAAGTTCAGGATGCAAACGTAGGTCAGACTGTTGGCCTCAACGCCGCTCTCTATCATCTCCATACAGAGGAGAGCGAACTCCGCTTCATCTCCCAATTGCTGATAACCGTTGAGGATGGCTGTCCACGAGACGACTGTTCTATGGAGCATTTTGTCGAATAGCTTCCTGGCCTCGGTAATGTTCCCGAATCTCAGGTAAGCGCAGATAAGATTGTTGTCCAAGAAAGCCACAGAACTTCCGAGAAGCTTGACTACCAGGGAGTGGATCCTCCTCACTTCTCTCTCATCGGAACAGGACTGAATCATGGACGGCAGCCGGCGGTCGTCGGCGAGCCACTGCTCCACTGAAAGGGAAGAAGAAGGCGGAGTCTCACCGGAATATCCGGCCTGCACGGCGGCGCCACCGGTCCGGCACGGCGGCGACCGGCCATTGCATGAGAACCTCGCTGCCCTCCCGAGGCTTCTCCTGGGGGCCTTCTCCCGCGCCAGTCGGATAGAAAAAGGTGGAGAGGCGAAGCAGGGAAGGTGTTGCGCCGGCGAGAGCTTCTGTGGCACGGCCGGAGGCATCGCCGGAGAACCCCACCGGCGAACTCTGCGTTCACCCCGCGCCGCTTCTGCGGATATGGAAGATACCGCCGTCGATAGCCATATTGGAGATGGGCTCCGCTCATGTGGGGCCCCACCTTAAACAGAATGGGCCGCCAATTTACAACCAAACCACATTTATAACCCGTTAAAAATGGGCCCAGTATAATGACTGGCATAGTGGGTTTTAACCCAGTAAAGGCCCATCATAAAAATGGGGCTCCGCTCATGTGGACCCCACATCAGCTAAAATAGGCCGCCAATAGACAACCAAACTACATCGTCGGCCCATTTATAGGTAGACCCAGTATAATGAGTGGGCCAATCCGGGGTGGGCCCACTCGAGTAAATATTCCCGGTTAGCTAGGTCGGCCCATTAACAAGTCTAATAATCCCCTCTTTATGGACCCAATTAAGTCTCGAGAGGCGGAGGCAGCGAAGGGGGTCCGCTCCGTAAATGAGTCTCGGGGTTCAACTTCGGTCTTTGACTGATCTAGTCACTTGGTCAGCGGTCTTTATTTACTTATTTTCAAATAATAATGCCTGGAAAACCTAGGCCCATTATCCATCATGATATCGAAATAATGCGTATTTCAAAGGGGGGGTAGAGGCCGGGCCCACCTCGATGGAGGCCCTATTGGGCCGGGGATAGTGGACTGACCTCGTCGCTTGGTCAACACTCTTTTAATTTCTGAAAAAAAAAAAGCCCTGAAAACTTAGACCTGTAAAGACGGGAGGGGGGGTGGGGGGAATATTGGGCCAATACTAGTGGGCTCAGGGACAGCCCATTAGCAGAGCCACCATGGGGAAGCGTTCCACTTGTGGGGTTTTTTGTAGGGTTTGAGCCGTCTGGAACCGGAAAAAATGCCTTTTTAGAGAATATATTATCCACATAAATTCACAATCGTATGATAAAAATGGAACATTTATGTCTTCGGTGACAATCTGTTATTATTATACCATGTAGAACGTTCTATGCCATAAAAGGATAAATCAAAGATTGATGAGTGAGGCCCTAATTTTGGTAATTAAACTAGACATTACCAAACAAAAAATGATATTTATGTCTTGATATCGAATAAAAAATCTATATAAATACGATTACAATACCAGCATAATTCCCTAAATCTCAGCAGCTAAACCCGGGTGAGTCACCAAATATACAGAAAACAACATAGAAAACACCCACATCCACACAGACACCTCCAAAGATAAATCTGAGGAGAGAGCAGTAATTATCTGTGGGTATAAAACCCATTATCATGATGAATCTGTCTCTACAAAGACATTTCTCCAGAGAGAGAGAGAGAGAGAGAGAGAGGAAGTACGTTAAACCCTTCTCGGTCAAAGATGGAAGAAACTGAAGGATGAGGGAAAGAGGGAAACTCACCTACTTCCCCCCAGCAAGGTTGGAAGGGATCTCTGGCTGAAAGAGGGGGGAAAAAGCAGCATATCATGTGGAAGGAATGAACAGATAAAAAAATTATACAAGAACATTGCAAGATTTTTATGGAATTAAAAATTGGTCACAATATTTTCGGATGTTTTCCCCCTCTTTTTTTCTTCCTTTTCTGAAATTTTCATGACTTTTTTCATATGGAAACCGATCTAAAGATTCTACATCAACATTCAGAACTGGATGCTGTCTAAGCCATCAAATGTTGGCGCATAATTTTTGGTAAAAAATTAAATAATTCCTAGTCACGCCTTACACTTTCCTACAAGGAGTGAAATAAGAACTTTCAGAATTTTTCTTTGTTTTTATCCCAGAGGAGGAACAAATCAGTGAGAATTGGATCACAACATCCACTAATAAAGCAGGAAAGAGAGAGAGAGAGAGAGAGAGAGAGAGAGAGAGAGAATGTCTGCTAGGAAATATTTTATGGGAGGAAGAGGTAAATAGACACACACGGAGGATATTTCACGATCAACTGATTAAATAACAGGATAAATGAGTCTATCACAAAGCTTTCTTTCAAAAGTGAGATATAGCTTGTGATAAAGGTCACTGCAAGATGTACTTCACGCTAGAATTAGTGATACCCAGTTTCATATTTATTGATCAAAATTTTAACTATGCTTTCCCCTTATTATTAATAAAACCAATGCCTTTATAATTTCCTCCCAGGTCCCGAACCTCTGCTACGTTCCTCCCAACCTGACTTATCAACCTAAACCTATTTGCAATTAATTTTGGATAGGAAAATAAAGATTGAGCATCCAATGATATACGTACGTTTTCAGTATCAGTGCCTACCTTATTGGTAGATCCCTTCTCCTGCCGAGTGATCGCTGGGAGGGTAATAAGCTGCAGATATTTTTTCAGAAGATCTTGAACCCCCTGAAAATCAGAGAAACCACAAGGAAATCCGGCTGAAGAGATCAAAATAAGGTAAAAAAGAATACAAAGATGTGCCCGAAGAAACCATGAGTAGCAAGAATTAGAACAGGCAAAAGCAGAGCAAGAATTGAAGACGTAGATATGCTCAAAGAAACCAAATATAGCAGGAGTTAGAGCAGGAGTAAGCAGAATTCCTGTAGGCCAGAGATAAATATATAAATTTACCTGGTACTCGGATCTATGGCCTTGGGCGTAAGCAATGGCAGCTGCCGCAGCAGTTGACATGTGCCTGGCTCCAGTGAAGAAGCTGTTTCCAAAGCTCACGCCTGCCACATATCTGAGGCTATTGCTCAGGGGAGGAGATGGCGCAGAGAACCATCTGGCCGGAGGATGCACCTACAAAAGAGTCATTCAGATTGTAAAGATGATCCGCAAAGCACCTAAAGAATATGACAAGAAAAAAATCTAACAAAAGTCAATTCTAGTACGGAATAATTCTAAATTCCATTATTGAACACTTAAAGCTTGGGGGGAGGGGGGGGGGGTTTAAAATTCCAGATCTCATTGCAGAAAGTAAAATAAAATATTTTAAAACAAAAAAAACCCATCACCAATCTGCTTTATTGATGATAGCTCCAAAGTGAAGATAGATCAGATGGTTGTCAGGATGGATTCTCCATCGTTCAGAAGGGTGGAAGGAGTTCTAGGAACAGGCACGAGCCCTAACATCTGCCCCAGAGTTGAAATAATCGGCAAAGTTTCTCTAGATCATAAATGAAATGGATCATAAACTGTCAGAGAAATTCGGTGTTGCCAAGGGTTCTAATGAAACCTCCACGCCTTGAAGACCGGAAAAGCACTGTACATTATCGGGAACGATAAGTGAGGAATTATGGGCTAATTCAAGGAATGAAATGAAAATAATGGGGGAGGGAACTAGAAACTTTACTAGACATTCGTAGTTTCAGGTGAATCTGCATTCTTCTCCACAAATTAACAGGTAGTAATTTATGGTTGATGGTGAGAATGTGCGAGGATGGAGACGATGGAGGTTTGCTTTACCGGATCGGGAGAGGAGGCAGCGCAGGGGGACCAGGTGCTGTAGCGCCTTGCACCGCCGCGCTTGGGGGCGGATCCAGAGCCAGTCGTTCTCCAAGGTTTTCGTCTTCGCGTCATGGCAAACTCCCCGAACTTATGGCCGACCATTCCTTCGGTGATCTTCCGACGGACATGGACTCTGCCATTGTAAATCAGAACGGAGGAGCCGACGAACTCCGGCAGAATGGAAGACCCTCGCGACCAGATTTTCCGGTTCGAGAGGCTTTTCCCCTTCTCCTTCAGTTTGAAAAGGAAGGCATCGACGAAGCTCCCCTTCCATAGCGATCGCCGCGGCATGATTCACTGCCTTCCCCCTGTGTCCTCGATTGCAGCCAGAACCTGCAAGGACAAGAACCAGGCGGAGACCGGTCGAGCGTCTGAGAAGAGAGAGAGAGAGAGAAGAGAAGAGAAGAGAAGAGAGAGGGTTGCCTGGTGCAGTTTCCCGACGGCAGGATTTGTTGGAGGCGGTAAGGAGCTGCCGGCGGCGGCGACGGCGGCGAGTGAGCGCGAGGGCAGGTGACTGTGGGACGGGGGCTGAGGCTGAAAGATCTTTCATGGGCCGGACCCAATTCGTCTAGAAGCCCTACTGATTATGGGCCAACTTTTGTCCCAACAAGGAACGGGCTGCTACCATTGTAAAGTGACGGTGATATATGGTTACATCGACCTTTTTGCGAGTCAGGTCCGAGGGATATAATTCTCTGTCTCTGTGATTTTTCGATAAAACCCTTCAGATAATTTTTATCAATGAATCAAACCACTGCTCTGAAATATTAGCCCGAGTACCCTAAACTGTCCCGTTCTTTGACATACTCAGAGAACCCCCACCAAGAAGAAGAGTAAGAAATTCATAGAGAGAGAGAGAGAATGAATGAGAGGAATAGAAAGCACTGCAAGTCTTCCCCTGAGCAAATGGCACCAGTAGAGACGTTGGTGGGCCATGGAAGCCCACGAGCCGGAAACCCATTTACAGTCCATTTCTCTCTCTAGGATAGTCACATATTAGGGAGCGCTGGCTGCCCACCCCCTTCCTTTGGAGGCCCCCCACAGCAATCGCCATTAAGACAGCACGCAACCAGGAAATCGGCATGAACCGGACCATCGAAGGGAGCTGCGAGAATGGCGAACCCATATGAACAGAAACTTACCCTCATCCCCACAAATTGGAACCCACCTCCACAGGAGACAACCCAAAGTCAACGAGCTTGCCGCCGTCGGTCAACAAAACTTTCCCGCCTTCTGACCTTCCTGCACCCATTTAGACCGGAGACCAATCAAATAACAATAATAATAAGAATTATAAGAATATTCAGAAAAATAAGATGGACCTGTGCTCATCGGCGGCCGGCAAGGGAGCCTCGCCGGACGAAGGGGACCTCAACAGAGGTGAGGTTGGCGGGGTAGGGGGTCCAGAGGCCGAGGCCACCGCGGGACTCCTTCAGGGTGGCGTTGGAGCCGGTCAACTCGTCGAGGGATTTGACCCACTCGACGACGGAGGAATGCTCCCGGGTGTGGCGGTGCAGGTTGAAGAGGGAATTGTACTCGCAGTTGGGGAACATGAAGAAGCGAAAGTGCGCCCGCAGCCGGAACGCCACGTACCCGAAGCTGAGCTGGTCCCTCGGGGTGAAGAGGTCCACCTCGTTGAACCACAGGCACATGAACAGGTTGTTCACCGCCGTGTGCTCCCGGATTATGACCGCCCCCTCCGGCACATCTGCAACCACACGCCGCCAGCGCCAGCCATCAGTAGCGCTCCTAATGAGAAGAAGAATCATGGGCCAGCAGCCGGCGTACCGCTGACGGTTCCTTTGTCTGGTCTCCACAGCTCCATTCCTTCGTAGCGATATATCTTCATGTGCAGGTCAATCAGAGGCCGCGCGTAGCGCTTCCTGCGCTTGATGGCATCTCCCTCCTCGTATATGCTCCGATGATGCTTATGAGTGGCAATCGCAAACGTGTAGTTCCCGCGCCAAAGATACCTGCAGCAGCGAGGGAGGAGCTTCTCATCAGTTTATCTGGTCTGCCACAGTTTCTGATGATGGGCTTTGGAGATGTCAACCCACCTTTCAAGCATGAGCAACGGGTCAACTAAGAGCTCCATCTTCCCATCGATCCATATGCTGTATTGCGCTTGAGGGAATAATCTGTGGGTCAGGATCTTAGGAACCTTCCCGTTCCTTCTAGGTTCATCATATGGGAGATTATGGAGGGTCACAACGCGCCAGATACCGACCCATTTCCCTCCGGCGTTGTCCACCCTAACGGTGACATTCTGCTCTATCAAACTAAGAGACTTCTCATCGACCACCATCAGAAAGCAGAAAAGCTTCTCAGATCGTCTACTTATATTGGTTGGCTGATGAGGCGTGTCGTACCCGTCGAAGATGCCGGAAGCCACTACAAACCTACATCTCTTCACATACTTGACGTCTACAGCATCCATATCTCCGCCTCCATCTTTCATGAAACCACAGTGGACCTGGAACGAAGGCAAATGACTACTACATTAGAACAACACGCAAGACTACGCTAAATCTGATGAAAATATCACGAGACATCATATCGTGTCTACCTTCATCGTTTCATTCACTTTAAAACTGTCTTCTCTCTGTTTCCATTGCAGATGCCCCCCAAAAAGCGGTGGAGAACCCTCGTCCACCATAGAGTACTGTAAATCCTTTAGGATGTTGTCAGGAGTCCGTCCCTTTGGGATGACAATATCATAAGGATCATCAAGAACGGGAATTGGACATCCTGTTTGGATACCATAAAGAAAAAACGCCGTTAGTAAAGTTTAATATAATATGGGCTAAACAGAGAAAAAAAACGTACTATGCAGTGGCTTTGGGACTATTATGCTTTCCAACATGAGAAACATCTTGGTGTGTCTTCTACAAACAGCTGTGCACAAACATAAGATATTTCAGACCGCATCACCATGGCACTTAAACTCGATTGAAAGCAAAGGATCTACACAAATGATCAAAGAGGATAAACAGATAAGTGACACCGAAAGCATTGGTAAGGTACGGATTTCCCAGAGATCTTTGACAATTGTCTACAGATGTATGAACAACGACAAAAAGAAAAGAAAAAGCTCTAGGAAACCACGGGATATACGATCAAATGATCAAATAACGAGGACCCGTGCCACCAGAACTTCAAGTAAGGTTTCAAGCTATATATCACGCAGTAATCCAACTATTAATGGAAAGCATCTTGCTCAGGAACAGGGCAAACGTTGTCTGAAGTAAGTAGAAACAAATAAAGCAGGTTCACTCTTTTCATCATCAATCAAAAATGAAAATGCCTGAAAGCAAGAGCATACCAGAAGGAGAAGCAGTAGTGGACTGGCACGTCCAGACATGAAATAACAAGGCAATAAGCATGAGCAGTATCCAAATAATGGCCGAGACAAAGACCAAACGAATGAAACCCCTTCTCCAAATCATTCTCCAGGGGTCTTGAGAAAGCTTCCTTGGGGAAAAGGGGCCACCGCCTAAATCAGAAGAAGAAATGAACAACAAAAACATAAAAGGTATTCCTGATAATGAAAAGTAAAATTCATTTAGCGTTTTCAACATTCCTCCAATGTTTATTACCTTTAACATCAGACCTTTGTTTCGGTTCAATCCGATCAGTTCTACGAGTTGTTCTCATGGAGAGAGAATGATGAATGTCTACTTCCGCTACATCATGCTCAGTCCCATCTGCAAAAGGTTAACATTTGTTGTCAAATAATAGTCTGGAACATTACAAACCAACGCAGTAAATTCTATGGGTTCTTAACAAGCAGAGAAGGAATTAGAAGCATTTCGGTGTCACATCTCCATGCTTTTAAAACGAAAGAACAATTACATGGGTTCTCTACTTCTAAATACAGGGTTGTGGCTCATGGCGTTGATCAGATGCAACTATAAAAAATTCCCTATTCCTCTTTCACTATCTCTGTTATATCTCCGCGCACTCTACTATTTCTATATTTTTTTCCCGTCCCATTTCTATCATTAATTTATCAGCGAAGAGAGAGAACCTAAAGGCAGGGCAAAACAGCGAAATATGAAAATGGCAATGTGAAAGCGTTAGACACGTTCTGTGGGAGATTATCAATAACGTAGGAATATCACTACAATGAAGAACGTAATGGACGTATTTCAGTTACTTATCACGTTTACTTGTTTTCCACATGTTGCATAAGAGCGACGGTAATTCAGAACTGCCAATGCGTATCCTTTAATTCTCCAATGACAATATCTTCATAAGATGGCTAAAATGCCGAAGCGAATGTTGTTGAATGGGTTACTAAGTCAAAGAACAAGAAGAACGACACAAACAGAAAAACTTCCTAATAGAGAAGATAAAATTGAAGATACATCATTTAGAGAATTTTCAGAAATGAATGACCGACACTCGTAAAGAAAATAGAAAATCTCACAAAACAATCGAGCAATTAGAATGGAGAGAGACGGGGTTCTTGATGGCGAGAATAAGGTAAAGGTCTTGAAATAATCATTTCTTAGGAAGTAATAGTCATCAGTGAAATAAGTGCAAAAATATTTGTACAGAATCATCAGACGTATTCAAGTACCCACAGATATTATTCTGCAAACAGAGAAACAGTGAAAAAATGCAAATGACACAGATTTTTCCGGGAACATAGGAGCTACGGAAGAAACAATACGAGCGCTAAGAGACCGCGCATCACGTAATGGTAAAAAGAGTAAAACAAAAGCATATACTGCCCCATTTTTGAACCAGATACAGATGAGAGTTGCGGCCTTCTGAAGGCAAATTCAAACAATGCGTCCACAAAACGGAGGCGAAAGATAAGAACCACAGGAACAATCCCGAAGGCGAAAAAATCAGATACCAGCGGTCGGCATCGTGCTATAGATCTGTGGATGATCTCAAATCTCCAGCCCCAATCGAACCAGGAAACCACAGATTCTCGCCGTCAACCCGCAGACAGTTCTCCCCGCGGGGGGGAAGCTTGGCTAGGGATGAAGCGGAAACAGGAACGCCAGCAGCGCTCCTTGTTCGTGGGCCTTACGCAATGATGCAGTGGAGCAAAAGAGGGGAATGGAGACCGCAAGAAGCGGCCGGAATGTCTCCCCACCTCCTGAGATCTTCCCCTCTCCCCCACACCTTCCCTCTCCCGATCTCTGCCCCTAGGCTGGATATAAAATTGTGACTCCAGGCATCCGGTAAGACATCATAACAGTGAGCGTCGCGCCGTCAAACCTGCTACGCTCCCCCCCACGTATATCCTCTATCCGCCACAGAAGACCTTTAGTCTCAATGCAGGTCTCGCCACGGTAGATGATGGAACAGGAGTCTGCCGAGACTGGAAAAATGAGAGAGAGAGAGAGAGAGAGAGAGAGAGAGAGAGAGAGAGAGAGAGAGGGTCCTTTCTCACGTCGGGGAGGGGGGGGTGGGCCAGCGAGGCTGGCACGTGGCAAAATAAACAAAAGGCCCAAAACGGGAGGGGCTGGGGCGTGGGAGCGTGTGGGGCCCACTATCAATTGAAACATACGACACGGCACCAGACTGATGGAGACCGCCTGCGTGGAGAAGAGATGATTGAGAGACGCTAAAATATTTCGGCGAGAGAGAGAGAGAGAGAGAGGTGAAAATATGACGACAAATATAATTCGATAATTTTATGCGGAATCTATGCTGGTAGTAACTAATCAGACATAATGGTAGAGAAGTAATAAAGTGAAAATTTTGAAGGGCAAACTCGTCAGTATTGAGTAGCTAGGTGGAGAATGAAAAAATATTTTTTTTGAAAAAACAATCTCAAGTATAATTTACTGATGATCTTGGAGGTCAACTCTGCGTTAGGTTCCTGTACGTCAAGCCGTTGACATCAATCATCAGTTTCTCGAGGGAGACCGCGGATGCTCGCGGTGTCAGAAGGGAAAGAGACGGGTGGCTGGCGTTGACGATGACTCCAGAAACATCACTGTGAGGGTAAAATAATATGGGCGAATGGAAAACGTTATTTACTAACATAATCATAGAGAATAAAGAACGATAACGAAAATTGAGAAAGTCAACGATGATCGTCAACGGACATTCGAAATAAAAATGTGAAAAATGATTTGAATAAATCTTCTAGTTATCGAATTCTCAGCTGCGGCACATCCGGAGAACACGGTCCCCCCGGTCTAACCAGAAATCCATTCTCCTAAACCGTCGACGAGAGGCTCTCTGTGCCGTGTTGGAAAGGCTTCCATGAATGGCAGAGAATCCGTTTTCTCTTTCCTGAAATGATCTTACGGCACTGTTCGAAGCAGGACGATCACAGAAGTAGAAGAAGCACTACACAGATTTGTTCCTCATGGCCTTGCCTTCCTGGGAATTTCAGCCATTCTATTCGTGCATCTTACATCGATGGATTGGATCACTCAAAAGGCGCGCCGAGAACCGGAACAAGCTTTGAATCCCACGGCAACGATGATGATCACTCCGGCTCCGCACCAGATAACAGAGAACTGGAGCGGGAAAGGTATATTCCACACCGGACCAGAGAGACGTAAAGACGAATCGCCGGTGATCGGCCGGATCCACGGAGGAAAGGAAATCGAACTTTCCGAGAAGCTATTCCGCCGGTCCCGAGGTCGATCCCTGCATTCCGCCTCTGAGGACGCAGGAAATTCTGGGAAGGAAAGATTCAGGCCGAGAGGGAGCGGCCTACTGCGCTCCTCCTGCTTCCTCCGTAGTAATCCTACTGGCTGGTACGAGGTGGGAAACTGCGAGAGCGGTAGTTCATAGGAAATTGTAAAAAGTTTCGAAGAGGGTGAAGAAGGGATGTAGATACAATTAAGCACAATCCAAGGGGTGGATCAATATGGTGGGAAAAACAGGTTTGAAGAGTAGTTGGGGTTAATTTAAATAAAAAAGAAAAGTAGTATGTGATGTCTGAGCCCGGGTTCGAACCGGGGACCTCTAGTGTGTGAGACTAGCGTGATAACCGACTACACCACCCAGACGGTTATTTTGAACATTTCTATTTATTTATATATATAATTTTATCCCAAGCTTCAACCATTAGGGAAGAGAACGGCGGCTGAGAGGAGCGAAAGGGGGGCACCGGGAGGAGGGCGAAGGGAGGCTGATATGGAGACACAAGATGGCGATCAGCAGGAGCAGCAGCCCCTCCTGACCCTCGCTCACAAGCTGTTTCTCCTCACGCACCCCGATGTCGAGGACATCGAGAAGGTCCGCCTCCGGGAGGAGGCGCTGACATTCATCAAGGCCGACGGTAAGAGCATTGCTCCCCCATTTTTGTCCAACTACATGTCTTCGTCCTTGTTTTTTTAGCTTCATGGCCTGATTGGATCATATCTTCTGCTCTCCAAGACATGGCTTCGTTGTACGAGTCTCTGGCTGCGAAGTCGGTGCTGCCTTTGGATGCGGAGGTCCTGGAGTCGATGCGCAGGAGAATCGACGAGGAGATTAAGAAACTGGACGAAAAGTGAGTTATCGCTCAGTTTGCGAACTTGTCGTCTATTCTTTGCCCGGGGGTTCCGTAGATCTGTGGTTGTGGAAATAACAGTTTTTCAGAAACTGAGATTAAAGAGGACGACAGAGTAAAACTTGAATTGTCATCCTCCACTGGATAGGCTGATCTGAACTTTCACTTAGTCGAACAGTTCGGGAAAAAAATCGTTGCCTGAATTTTCTTCCTGCCGTGTAGTTTTATCTTGCGACTAATAGAAAAGCCCTAGTTCCTCGATTATGTTATTTCCATTAATGAGGTATGAGGTTATGCGTAAATTAACTATGACCTACCCTTTAGATCACCTTCTTTGTTGAATGCTAATGACGTATCATGATTACTGGGGTATATTTCCACTTTGGTAATGTAACCAATAGTGCAGGTTCCCGTTAAACATAGGAGTACCGTCCTTTTCTGCTCAAACCGTCTCTATGAAGTATTCTCTTTGCATAAGTTGATGTCCTGTGCAGTGAGGTGTAACAATATGAGGATTGTTGTCATCGATTTTTTCTTGAAATTTATGCAATCATTCTCCAGCTTGTGGATTTATTTCATCATGTTTCGTTTTTTTACAGTGTTTTTATACACTCATCTATTTTTCCCATGAATGTAGCTGGCACACGAAATAAATGCAGTTGTAATCCTGCAGATATCGACAGATCGAACTGTTTTAGAGTCATCTCTTATTTCGCCTTTCAAACTTTATAGATCTCTTCCCTGTACGATTAGTTGATGGTTAGATTCCTAAAGTTGTCTTTATCTGTCCCTTTTAGCTAGGCTATAGACAACATTGGCGGCCCTGCTGATGGTTGTTGTGGTCATCCACCTATTCACTCGCATCTGTTGAAGCAATGGGCGGGGTAGGATAAGGGGTGCTCAAGTATTGTCAGAACATTGGGTCTTTAAGGGCGACTAAATCTTGGGCAGTAATGCACGTAAAGAACGCTAAGATATTATTCAGTTTCAAAGAAGACGCTTAGGGGATACGTTGTGGTAACTCACTTTAGTAGGGCTGTAGAAATACCTCGATGAGGAAATAGGACGCTTGGTGCCCTGATGACCCCGTAAGAGAGAACCAGGAAAATGAGGGGAATATGTTATCAATATAGCATATTTAATGTTTTATGACCTTTCATGCAAAAGGACACCTTTTGAAAAATGTACACTGGTCATGCTATGTTCCATTTTCACTTAGTTAGGCCATTCATTTGTTTCTTCCATTATACAGGATTGCTGATGCTGAAGAGAACTTAGGTGAAAGTGAAGTCCGTGAAGCTCATCTTGCAAAATCTTTGTTTTTCATTAAAATTGGTGACAAGGTATACCTATCCTTCATGCAAACTTCTTCTCATAGTTCGCGTTTCCTTTGTAATTTCTTATCTGAGGAATTCCTTCTGATTGCAGGACAAGGCTCTGGAACAGCTCAAAGTAACAGAGAGTAAAACTGTTGCTGTGGGTCAGAAAATGGACTTAGTGTTTTACTCACTGCAGCACGGTTTTTTTTACATGGACTTTGACCTCATCTCGAAATGCATTGACAAGGCTAAGAAGTAAGATAAAATTTCCTAACTGATAATCTTCATCCTCCAGATCAAGTACTTTATACATTCTTTCCATGAAACTCAAAATTTTTGAATAACTGCCAGCTTATTCGAGGAGGGCGGCGATTGGGAAAGGAAGAATCGATTAAAAGTGTATGAAGGGCTATTCTGCTTGTCTACCAGAAATTTTAAGAAAGCTGCAGATCTGTTTTTGGATTCCATCTCTACCTTCACTACATACGAGCTGTTTCCTTATGATACTTTCATTTTCTATACGGTTCTTGCAAGCGTCATATCACTTGATAGAGTTTCCCTAAAACAGAAGGTACCCACTTTCTTTTTATTTATTTGTTTCATTATTTTTTGGTTATATAATTTTTTGCTCATCGCATGGTAGGTAGTGGACGCTCCTGAGATCCTGGCAGTGATTGGCAAAATTCCGCATCTTGCTGAGTTTCTGAACTCCCTCCATGGGTGCCAGTACAAGTCATTCTTTTCAGCATTCTGTAAGCGGTCAATTTTTTGGGCATTATGTCGTTTCTTTCTTTCTTTTAAAGTGAATAATGCAGCGAACTCATTGTTGCAAATATTTCTTACGTCAAGTAGTCAAGGGGTTGACTAGTTCTATTGTTTATCATTTTTGAAACCTGACAGAGTTCCCGGATCACACGATTCGTTGTTGTTTCTTTGAGTGTTGTTCTCGACTGATTTGTTAATATAGAGGAAATTGAACAATATTAGTGCTAAGAACAGTTAGGGTTCGAAAATTAAAGTCTTACCAGGCAACAAGATGAACGGGAGTACCCTACCACATCATAAGCAGGTTGAGGTGTTTTCCACATCATAAGCAGCTGTTTTAAGTTCGACTTTCTGTACAAAGTAGTCTATACAATTACTTTCTATTCTCTGAATCTCTATGGTCCTGAGATGTTCCCCTCAAGGAAGATGTATCTGTCTGGCTTGAAGGCTAGTTTCTTGGGATCCATTAGATAGGACTCGTATAGTTGGTAAGTTTCTGATACTCCTGCGGCAATTATGCGTCAAACTTAGGTATCAGGCTTGGCCTTCTCACAACTCATGCCATATCTCATGAGTTGTTGTAGTCCTGTGTGCCCTGTGAACAAAAATCTAGCTTGTTTCTGCATTGACCTCACCACGGATCCATCAACTCACCTGCATTGATCCATCTATTTCATGTACCAAGTCAATGGTCGTTGACCTCTCATTCGGAGAAACGCCAAGAACTCTTGCCACTTAGTCAGCGCAGCCTCCGTAAACACAGGAGTGGAATGCATTCACTTGCTCGATCTCCATTTCAGTTGTGACGATTGATTTCGAAAATCTTCGAATTTTATAGTATTTTTCTTATAATTCTCTCTCTCTCTCTCTCTCTCTCTCTCTCTCTCTCTCTCTCTCTGCTGTAGTTCACTAACATGCCATCTAAAGGTTGTAATTTTTTGAGATATATCAGCTCTCGGTTTCGAATCCGTGATTAGCTTTCTAAATGTAGAAAGAGAATGATTCTCTCTCTTGACTTGTCTGTTCCTGCGGAATGATCTCAGCTGGGTTGACCAAGCAAATAAAGCTGGACCGCTATCTGCAACCCCACTTCCGATATTACATGAGGGAGGTCCGGACCGTGGTCTACTCTCAGTTCTTGGAGTCCTACAAGAGCGTCACCATGGAAGCAATGGCGAGAGCTTTTGGAGTCAGCGTGGACTTTATCGATCTGTGAGTTTCCTTCTTTACCCGGTCTTTCCCCCCAGATACATTATCGGAATCCATTCTGAAAATAATAATAATTATTATTATTTGCAATAAAAAGGGAATTGTCCCGGTTCATCGCGGCGGGGAAGCTGCACTGCAAGATCGACAAGGTGGCGGGGGTGCTGGAGACGAACAGGCCGGACGCGAAGAACGCGCTCTACCAGGCGACCATCAAGCAGGGGGACTTCCTCCTCAACCGCATCCAGAAGCTCTCCCGCGTCATCGACATGTGAGAGCACTTCCCGGCCACCACCCACCGCGCCAGGCCAGGCCAGGCCAGTGCATGCTGACGGATATGGTACTGCTATTCCTACTATTCTTCTTCTAGAAATTCCCATCTTCCCCTCCGCCGCCCCCCACACTCTTTTTTTGTGGAAATTCTTGGGTACTTACTCCTCGATGCTTCTTTTAGGGTTTCTTATTTATTTATTGCATCTATGGGGCTATCCACAGTGCGAGGAGAGAGAGAGAGAGAACTGGGCTGGGCCTGAATCTCTTTTTATGGACTGTAGTCGACAGGCACACAGAGAGACGAGAGAGAGACTGATAGAGAGAGAGAGAGAGATGTCTAAGCTGGGCCTGAATCTCTTTTCTGCTCTGCGATTGACGGAGAGAGAGAGAGAGAGATCTGGGGGGGCCTGATTCTCTTCTCTGGGCTGTGACGGAGGGGGGAGAGAGAGAGAGATATAGCAACAGCAGTGGCAGCAGAGATAAGTGTGATCTGGGCCGGGCCTGGATCTCTTTCTGGGCTGTGATCGAGGTTGCGCCAGGAGGTTCCTGGGCCCATGGACGCCTCCGATTTTTGGCTATCTTTGCGTGTTTGCCGGCCGAGGAACACCGAGTCGGATCGGCCACACTCAATCAGAGTGGAGTCCTTTCGGGCCGGGTGAACGGGTCAGTGAGGCCCATTAACACTATGATTTCCTCCTTTCCTAGATTCCTTTTGGGGTGGGGAGCCCTAGCGTGCAGGACCAGGGGCTGTTCGCTGGCCATGGCGAAGACACCGGAACAGAGGGCTCGGAGGAGCGCCGCCAAGAAGAAGAGGAAGCTCCTCCGCGCGGCGAACTACGGCAGCCGTGCCTCTGCCCCTCCCGCTGCGGAGATGGAGAAGAAGGAGGCGGCCGAGGTGAAGCAGATGCGGCGTCGCGATTCCAAGGACCTCATTCTCTTCGGCACCAACGCCTCCTCCTACTCCGACTCGGATGCCGGCGGGGAGGAAATCCCCGACGTGCAGAGGCTCCTGGAGCCCTACACCAAGGAGAAGCTCGTGGAATTCCTCTGTGACGCCGCCATCGCGGACTCCGGGATCTATTCCCGCATCCGCGAAGTGGCGGAGCGCGATGTGTCCCACCGCAAGGTCTTCATCCATGGCCTCCCGTGGGATGTGACGAAGGAGACCCTCTCCAAGGCCTTCTCCTCGTTCGGCGCCGTCGAGGAATGCAACGTCGTGGCGGACAAGGCCACTGGCCGGTGCAAGGGCTACGGCTTCGTGCTGTTCCAGTCCAGGTCGGGAGCCATCAGGGCGCTGGAGCAGTCAAACAAGCAGATCGGAGGTCGGATGGCGCACTGCCAGCTCGCGTCCGTGGGGCCGGCGACCTCCTCCGCTGGCTCGTCGGGGCACCAAGCCGGTACTGCTGGACGGAAGATCTACGTCAGCAATGTGCACGCTGAGGCGAACGCCGATAAGCTGAAGGGGTTCTTCGCCAAGTTCGGGGAGATCGAGGCGGGGCCGATGGGATACGACGTGGTGACGGGCAGATCGCGGGGGTACGCCATTTTCGTGTACAGATCGCAGGAGGGAGCTCGAAGGGCGCTGGAAGAGCCTTACAAGATGTTCGAAGGGCACCGGCTGCACTGTCAGTGGGCAGCGGAGCCTGCCAAGGTGAAGGATCTGTTCTCCACCGCAGCAGGTGGTGCCACAGTCGCTCCCTCCGCGGCTGGGCTGGTCGGAGCTGCACCTCAGCCAGTGCTCGCTGCTGTGGTTGCTGCTCAGAACCTCTCCCTGTACAATCCCACGGCCCCGGCGTATGCGGCACTCTTGGGTCAAAATTCTCTGCTGGCAGCGGCCATAGGGATGAACCCAGCAGCAGTGAGTGCGGCTCTGAATCCATTGGCAGCAGGTCCTGCTTTGTTTGGAGGGTTACCTGGTTACGGCGGCAGTTCTTCACTGCTTGGGGCTTACAGGACTCAGATGACAGCGGGATTGCACGAACTGGAGTTTGCACGTTCGTCGCTGGGACGGCCAGGCAGTTCATATGATGGCATGGGATCTTATTCATGGTAACATCTAACACTTTTCCTATTTTTATTTATTTATTTACTATGACTCATTTTCCTGATCTTTTTCCTCGTTTCCCTGAAAAATTTGTTTTTAAAACCACGGTCATACGCAATGAGCAATGGCCGTAAGGACATCCAGGTTTTTCGCACAAGAAGGTCATTGTTGTGCTTCAGAAATCTGTCGTGAGAAAATGACTCTTCATGCAGGAAATTATCATTGGATGGTTGTTGGAAATTAGTAAAGAGAATCTGGCCCCTTAGGTACCTCAATGTGAATGAAACATTATGGTGGTTGCTCACAAAGACATTCTTTGATTACTGGTGCTATTTAAGTTAAAATTCGGTTAGATGAGTCCGAATGTGGGACTATGTGAGGTGCCGTCTTAGGCAATTTATCCAACACTAGGAAAGTAGACGGTCAGCATGTCCGATGCTTCTACCATATAAAGCCTCTAGCATCCCTGCTATTTTTGGCTGTGTTTTTCGGCTTTGGGCTGGTGCTTATCAAGAAGGTGGATATCAGGACTTCTTGTTAATAGATAGAATGGCACATGGAGGCTGATCTAGGAGGGGATGTAAGATTTTGTGCCAAAAGCTCACAAAAAAATCACACAATGGTTCAAATGCGTAGGATTTTTTTAATTAGTCTCATGCCGTATAAATTCCATCCTCCGTGAAAGAATGATCGGTTTTTCCCAATGATTTTTCACCCTTGTTTAATTTTCATTCTCGACTCAATTATGGAGCGTAGAGGATAATTTTGGGTCAGAATTTCTGATTAGTCAGTTTAAGGCCATACGCTTTTTTTTTTTTCTCCACTGGGAAAACATTTGATGTTTGACCTCAAAGTCTATTGATTTGAACGAAAGTTATTTGGCATGGTATGAAATAACTAGGCCCGATTTGCTGTTTGCTCTTTGGATAACACGAGAAAGAGGGAATACCTCAGCTAGAGACTGTCATGCGCTATGATCTGTGACAGGTTTATACGAGACGAGAGCCTTCATGGCAGTTTCTGATCTACAAATCCACAGACATGCATATTCATAAACAGTGTTGCATGCCCTTTTTTCCATAAGTAGGATCCTCCACTATATCCCCAAGGTCATGACCCGTTTGCTTTAATTGATTTCATGCCCAGTCAACTTCTGACGGGCCTATATTTGGCACGCTATTTGACAAGTTATATTGATCATTTTTTATTCTTTACACGTCTTCGTTTTTTATTTCACACTATTTGACGAGTTATTTTGATAATTTTCTACTGTGTTTTTTTTTTTTTAATGGAGTTATTTAGAGTTTTTCTCGTGTTCCTCCTTCCAATCTATTCTCTCCCAAGTTGGCCACGCCTCTCTCACCAGCCGTTCTCTTGAGAGACTCACCCTGACACCATGCTTGCAGATGGCATGAAGCAGAGAGAAGCCGTTGGTTCCATTCCAGTGAATGTCTGTATGTAAAGGGGGTGGTCTCATGGATGTGAAGGGATCCTGGGCTTGTTCTTCCTACCACCTATTTTGCATCAGCCAACGTCAACAAATGATATTTGTGGGACTTGGTGGGATTTCTTCTCTGCTGGTTTTTTGCTATAAATATGCCTCCTTTTTCGTCGGCCGCAGACCTGGCCCTCAGGTTTCCTTCATCTATTTATCTTATTTTATTATTTTTAATTTTATTTATCTTCTCTTCTCAAACTTTTCACTCCCCCCCCTTGATGATGGTCTCCATTTTATTTATCTTCTTTCTTCTCCCTCTTTCATTCTTCTTTTCACCATGGCATTTTGCGCCCCTCTGAAGAGAGCTTCTTGGAAAGGGATTTGGATAGAAGAAGCTGAAGGATTAGGGGGAGAATAATAGATAGAAAAAATGACCTCTTTTGGGTATATCTGATCTTTACTATAATAGGAGGATAAATCCCATCCAGTCTATGTTTTTTTTTCTTAATTAATTTATTTTAGCTAACCTCTTTTGGGTATGTCTGGTCTTTTACTATAACAGGCTGATAGATCCCATCCAGTCTATGCTTTATTTATTTATTTATTTTTCTGTGGATATCTATCTGGTTCCTTCTTCTCTAACACTGGGCCAACCCTGAGATTAACATGCATCAGACTGAGTAATTTTCTGTTCTTGTTGATTTCCTTGATTCCTGGATGTTCGTCTTGTTCTTCGGCCTGGCTGCCGGTTGGAGATTTTCTCTTTGGCCTGCCCGATATATCATCCTTTTATTCTGTATTTATGTTTCAAAATCAGAGTGGTGCCTCTGTTATAGAGATAGAGACTCCTTTTTTTATATATTTATTGTGGACAGAAATTCTCCTTTGGAAAAAAATAATTGAACAATTGGGCATTGTAAAGCTGTTCCTTGGTTCGTATCATCACCTGGCGATTGATTACGGTTCCTCAAATCTCTAGGCACATCGACCTTGAACTTTTCTCCACAGAGAGAGAGAGAGAGAGAGAGAGAGGGAGAGACGACCATGTACATCTTTCTATCTATCTATTACGTCATATCTCTCTCTCTCTCTCTCTCTCTCTCTCTCTCTCTCTCTCTCTCATCTTTCTATGTATCTATTTTGCTGCAGTGATGGTGTGTTCATCGATTAGTGTCCTTGGTAGTGTGGGGAGGCCCAAAGCCAGTACTGATGGCCTGGGCCAATAGCTTCTATAAGATTTCAAATTATATTATTAAAATGTCTTTTTAATAAACAATTAATTTTTAATTAATGTTATTGCTCAAAAAAACTGGAACGGAGTTACGTGATTTAGATTTATAAATTATAAATTTTTATTCAGGCTGAAAATTACTAACAAAAGTGAATGCATTACTAACAAAAGAAGGGTAAAAAAATAAAAATATATCTTTTTTTTTTTGTGAAGAACAGACCATTAAGAAATCTATAAAGCATTAGGGTTTCCTATCCTCCTCTTCTTCTTCTTCTTCTTCCATCGGATCGTAGCAGAAGATGAGGAAGAAAGGAAGGATGGAGGGAAGGAAGAGGTCTTACCGCCTTCCTGGTGGGTCAATTCTTCTTCGTCTCGGTCGTCTTCTCCTTCGTCTGCTCCTGTTCTTGTGGGGCGGTGACGGGACCCGTCTCCTTAGCCGGGGGGGACTAAGGTCGGGCCAAGAACTCCTCGAGAGTCATCTCTCCCTGCCGCCGCCGCCGCCGATTGTCAACGCTGGGGATGGTCTCAGGCGGGGGTTGACCCTGGGCTATCTGGCCAGTTGCAGAGGAGAATCCCGTTCCTACATCCTCCATTCAGCGGGCTCCGTCTGAGAGCCCCGCCGCAGACATTTACAGAGAGAAAATATGAGGTCAACCAAGAACAAGACTTTTGTTCTGGCTATATTTACTTTTTCTAGAAACAAACCCATTCCAAGAATGCTGGAGTTTCCCGTTCGCAGAACTAAGAACAGGAATGAAAGCCAAGAAGAGGAATTACTCGCGGGGTTGTCGAGTTCCCAAGAAGAAGTAGCCTCTTGGACCAACCAACCACCGTGGATAGAACCCTCTCCCTCCCTCCCTCTCTCTCTCTAAATGGAGGGAGGAAGCAGAGGACAATGGCTGGGAAAGGGGAGAAGCACCGGACATTATAGATCCTTCCCTTCTGCGTGGAGAGAGAGAGAGAGAGTTATAATGGCCAGGAAAGAAACAGAAACTGAATTTTTCGATCGATTCTCTCTCTGCTCTGCTCTGCTCTACTCTACTCTCTCCCTCTCTCTATGCTCTCTTTCTCTCTCTCTCTTTCCCAGGGTTAGATAGTCATCCACCTGTAATCAAAGGGGAGATTAGATCTGTTGTCTGAAAGCAGTAGTTGGAATCCGGATGGCCTTCCCAGAAACAGGGGAGAGATTTCCACATTGGAACGCCTAGCCCTTCCTCCCGGGCGCCACCCCAGCGGCCGCTTCGCGCCTCTGGGCGATCCGGAGCTGCCTCCTCCTCCTTTTCTCCTCAGCCGCGGCCGTCGGCGCTGGGGCTGGCGGCGCCGCCGCCCACGCTTCCATCTCTTGCTGCTCTCTCCTGGCCGCCGCCGCCATCGCCATAAATTGTCGTCCTTCTCGGGCGGCCGCCATCTTCGTCAGCCGGAGTGCTTTCCGGGCAGCCGCCATCTCCATCTGTTCTTGCACTTGCTCCGCCGCCATCTTCATCTGCTCCCTTTGGTCAACCTCCATCTCCCTCTTGATCTGCTCTCGTTGGGCAACCACCATATTCATCTCTTCTTGTTGGACAGCCACCATCTTCATCTGTTCTTGTTGGGCAGCCGCTATCTCCATCTGCTCTCGTTGGGCAGCCGCCATCTCCATCTGCTCTCGTTGGGCAGCCGCCATCTCCATCTGCTCTCGTTGGGCAGCCGCAATCTTCCTCTGTTCTTGTTGGGCAGCCATCATCTTCATCTGTTCTTGTTGAGGAGCCGCCATCCTCATTTGTTCTTGTGGGGGAGCCGGCATCTGCATCGGTTCTTGTTGGGCAGCCGCTGTCTTCATCTGTTCTTGTTGGCCAGCCGCCATCATCTGTTCTTGCTCTTGATCAGCAAAGGCCACCTTCTTCTGTTCTTGCTCGTGATCTAGTTGGAGATCCGCCACATCTGTCTTCATTTGTTCTTGCTGTAGATCAGCAGAGGCTACCTTCGTCTGTTCTTGCTCCTGGTCTAGTTGGAAATCTGACATATCCATCTTCATCTGTTCTTGCCGTGCTTCTTCCTGAAAAATCTGCTCCCACTCCTCCTCGGGGTCTGGTTTCTTGAAATAATCTTCGATCAAGAGAATGCCAGGCTGCTGCTGCTGCTGCTGCTGCTGATGATGATGATGGTGATGAGGCTCATCTAAATTCATGGCTCCCAGGGACTTCACCACGCCGGAGAAATCATCCTCTGCATCATCCGGGGTTTGATCCTCGGTCGGATACCCCATTCTAGCTGGAACAGAGGGAGATGGAAAGCTCTAAATCCACAGGGAAGAAAATATAGTTTGCAGAGAACTCCAGATAAAAGTATAAAAGATCAATCGAGATCCAAACTCAGATGTTTTCTTCTTGAGCTCATCGAAATCTCAATGTCAGAAGATTATAGGATCAAGCATATGATTCTATCCTGCACGCTGATTCAACCGCTTCCTAAGACAGGAATTCGACATCGGGAAACTTATTCCTACCAAAATCCATGAATTCTCCCGGAGATTTCACCTTGATCGAGATTTCGAGATATAAATCAATCCGTGGAGCCAAAATTCAGAGCATCTTTTCCGGAAAACGAGAGGACAGTGGAAAGCCAACGGATCACGATGCTGCAAACTCATGGATGATCGAGCAGTTGAAATCAGATCGAAGAGGAAGATGAAACGTAACGAGCCAAATGTGACTAGAAATGCACGTCCAAGAAGATCTCAGGAGGAAGGGACGTTGAGGAAACCATAGAAAAAAAATAAAAATCGACGACGGCAGTCTCAATTTCTGGGAAATTTTGATCGGACCACCTGGGATCAAGCAGCGGAATCACAGGGAATCGCCGGACCTCTGTCTCCAAAATTTTGGCTCCCACACCATCAATTCATCATCCCAGACAGAAATGGAAATGCCGAGGTCTTCTCGTAGGTCACTGCTCCCGGAGCTTACAAGAGGAGAAGAGAGAGAGAGAGAGGGGAGAGAGAGAGAGATAGAGGGTGCGGAGTGGTTTCGCGCGCACGGGGTTTGGATATTTGTGGCCCAACCCCAGTGAAAGTGGGCCCGACCCGCCTTTGTGCATGATATCGGAATCAAAATGGAAATTTGGGTATCGGTTGTGATATCCGTATCGAATACCCGTTAAGGTATATCCGATACGTCATCTATAAGGAATGCCCCCTATCCCAAATAGTGGCCGAAATCTTTTATACGTGGCGCGATATTGTTGGTCAACAGGGGGGGAGAGTCTTGAACCACAGAGTAGAGAGATAAATCAACTTCCCTCCTCCGTTCGATAACGTCCATTGGAGAATTAGGACCGTCCATTTAACCCCGTCTTCCTCCTCCCGTTTCTCTCTCCCGTTATCCTTGTCTTTCCCTCTTCAGAGAAAGAGAGAGAGAGAGAGAGAGAGAGAGAGAGAGAGATGGCGGCGGCGGCGGCGGCTCTGCAGCAGTCGACGGCGGCTCTGAAGGGAAGGAATCCGGCGGTGAGGGGGGCGGCGGCGCCGATCTCCACCGCCGTGAGGTCCCTCCCTCTCCGATCATCGTCGTCCATTGCTGCCATCCCCGGCGCCCTCCGCCTCTCCAGGACGGCGGTCGTCGACGCGGTCAGGCGGCGCCGCCGCAGTGGCGGGGCGACGATGATGGACACGGCGGCGGGAAGCTACGCGGCGGCGCTCACCGACGTCGCCAAGGCCAACGGAACTCTGGAAGCGACGAGCGCGGACATGGACAAGCTGTCGACGATCTTCTCCGACGAATCCGTCTACAAATACTTCGCCAATCCGACGGTGAGCGTGGAGAGTAAGCTGGAGCTCGTCGGCGACATCGCCAAGACGTCGTCGCTACAGCCGCACACGGCGAATTTCCTGAGTATCTTGGTGGAGATGAAGCGGACGGAGTTGGTGAAGGAGATCGCCAAGGAGTTCGAGAAGTGCTACAACCAGCTCACTGGGACGGAGGTGGCGGTGGTGACATCCGTGGTGCCGCTGGAATCGCAGCATCTCGCTCAGATCGCCAAGTCCATTCAGCGGCTGACGAAGGCGAAGAACGTGAGGGTCAAGACCACGCTGGATCCCTCCCTGGTGGCCGGATTCACCATCCGGTACGGTTCCTCCGGATCCAAGTTCATCGACATGAGCGTGAAGAAGCAGCTCGCGGAGATCGCCAAGCAGCTCGACTTCTCCGACATCACCCTCGCCTCCTAGAAGAGATCCGCATGGAGGAGCAGATCGGGGCTGTCGTCTTCCTCCTCCCCCCTCCGACACCAAATCTCTGCTCCATCGCCTTCCCAACTATCAATGTGAGTAATATCTCTGTGCTTTGATTTTTGTATCCTTTTCACAATCTCCCGCTACATTCACATCCTTGTTCATCATCATCATCCTCCTCAGTAAATCTTCGATCGCTTCTCTGAATTTTGAACCCGCACACAAACTGTATGTGGAGATTCCAACGAGGTCTGGATCATCCCGCTCTCTGATTCCCCTGCTTCATGCCCAGAAATCAACATCCTTTCCTACGATGATCAACACAATTAATTGATTAATTAATAACTTGAAGATCACAAGGAATAACTCGCCACTTTCCCCAATTATGCGAGCAGATTTTATCATTGTTGTACCGAATTCATCCCCCTAATATCTTTCTGTTCTTGATGCAAAGACCTGGGTGTCTATTGCCTTAAATACCCCTCGTGATGAATTGGTTCACGGATAATCTACCATAGAGAGAGGATTTCATCAGTCATTAGTAGGTGGGTAATTAGGGAATTTGGGTCTTCTTGAGCCCCATTTTCTACTGCCATGTGTGTTGCCTTGGCTTCCACGTGTCACTCCACATCATCAGTTTACGCCCAACATAGATTGTACTCATTAACCCCACAGACTCCACCAAGACAAAGCGCGATTAAGGGACTATGTGCCCCAATAGCAGGGCAAGATTAGCGAGGTTAACATGGTTTATGCTATATAACCCATGAGATTACTAGGAACGGGTGAGATTAAGGGAATTCTCTCTCTCTCTACCTCTCTCTCGCTATCCCTCTCTCTCTCTCTCTCGCTATCCCTCTCTCTCTCTCTCTCTCTATCTATCTCTCTCTCTGCCTCTCACGTGTGAAGAGGAGGTTTAGGATGGTGAGCAGGGAGACTATTTTCGAAGGCTCGGGCTGAGCTTTTCAAGGCCCAAAAGACTGGTCCAGCTCAGATGATGCAGGCGCCTGGCATTGAGGCTATTTCCGGGCTTCGCCATCGCGTTGAATATTGCAATCTTTTAGAGCCCTCAGAAGCCGTTTATTTGTTCTTCCACGGCTACGATGATCTAATAAATAGGAACGAAAATGTAAATTTTAATTATTTTTTTTGCATGGGAGAGTTTTCTCTCTCTGGTGCAGTCATTCCCTCTCCCCTCCGACACGTCCAATTACACCCCAAAATTTCATACTACAACGGCAAAGTCCCCCCACCCCCTCACCTCCCCCACCGGCGAACAGCCCGGCGGCAGAGTGGCGGCGCCGCCGTCTCCGGCGAAGCTCTCACTCAGTTGGAGGGGACCTGGTAATATCTCCCTCTGCACATGCAGCGGTAGACGATGGGGCAGGACTCCGCCACCGAGCACTCGAAGCTCACCATCACCCGCCGGCACGGCGAGCACGGCCCGCAAGCGTGCGCGCAGTCCGGCAGGCTCGACCCCGTCGCCGACATCCCCGCCAGCGCTTCGTCCTCCTCCTTCCCCTGCACCCAAAAACCCAAAACCCTAATCCTCAATCTCCCTCTTCTTCAAAAACCAAAACCCCAAAACCAGTCACGATAATGGCGGTCGAAGAAGGGGGGCGGGGGGGCAGTACCTTGTGGACGGCGACGATGGTCGCCGGAGCCGCCGCGTTCCCACCTGCTCCTGCTCCTGCTCCTGCCCCTTCGCCGGGGGACGGCCGACGACAGTGCCCGCCGGCGAGGAGGCACAGCAGGGCGACGCCAACAAGAGGGACGAAGAAGCGACCCATCAACTACGAACTTCGGCGAGAGAGAGGGTGGCGGCGGTGCTCCGTCTCAGGCGAGATGAATGTAAATTTATAGATGGTGCTCGCCGGAGGAGGAGGAGGAGGGGGAGGGGTGTTAATGGCGGGCACGGAGAGCCTCTGTCTCTAATGCGGTTCACATGATCGCCGGCGGCTCCGCCGGTGGCGCCGCCAGTACCGGGGAGCTGGCGGGTTGGTCACGGGCATCGCCGCCAATCTCCGCCGGAGCTCAGGATGATCAGGCGGCGAATTGAATGCCAGTGAAGGCCGCAGGCAGTTCTCGCCTGGCCTTCAATGAAGCCCCCTCGCTCCCTCCGCCCTTCCCGAGGCCATTGATGGTCGCCCTCCGAGCTCTGAAAGCGATAGCTCAGCAGGGATTCCTGGGCTCTTGGCACCGTGGCCTGGTGCTATTGTACCTCCCAGTGTTAATGGGTCATGATCCAAAATAAGCCCATTATATGAGCTCAGATTTGGGCCCAGAGTGGTTCTTCTGCTTCTCTTGTTGATTTATTTCATTTTAAGTCCCTTAAAACCGATTAAATTGTTTATTAACTTAATCTTTTTTTTCCATTATTTTTTTTAAAAAACTCAAATCACCCTCATAATGTAGAAAAACATCAATTAGGGCAGAAATGGAATACTATTTTTTATCTATGGTTAAAAGTAAAACTGAGCTAAAGTCACTTAACAAAGGTGTATGTGGTGAAAGTAACACAAACCTTGATATTAACAATAGTAAGATCCGAGCTTTAATATACGAAGCACGAGCCTTGAAGAAGAAACTTAAATTCATTAGGAGATAACGTTGAATCTATTAGGGATGTCTAAATCCACAAGTGGAGATAGAGTAATCTCACAATATACAAAAAACTTGTATTATTTTCAATCTTGCTAGATTTAAGAGAATGCTTAAATCAAGAAGCAGAGTTGAATTACTCACATTTTAGTTGTGACTTTACTCAACACTTGATTGAAATATTAAATCTTTCTTTTTCTCCTAATCTCAAGTCCTATGATTTTCCTAGATCTATCAACAAGAGACTCAAATATTTTTGTAGTTTAGCTCCTCGTCTTTCTTTGAATTTTTTAAGTATCCTATCCATTATTTAAATTAATTTTTAAGAAAAAAAATTATTTAAAAGTTGTATCTAATATGCCATCTAATTATGGAATGGGAAATCAATGCATAACTATAATCTTGTTGATAACTCTATTATCGATACTCTATGTAAGCTTTCATCCTTTTTGGAAATCAATAGAATATGAATGTAGTATCAACATGTATTATCAATGTTTTTGACAATCATGTGTTAACTTATGAAAATAATTTTCCCTATTTCTCTAGTCTCATTACATAATGTGATAAATTAGGTAAATTTGCTCTTAAAATAAAATCAATATGATGTTAGATATCTTGCATGGTAGTAAATGATTAGGCATATTTTTTTAGTAATAAAATAAAATAATACACTTTGAACAAATTTAGAATAATTTCAGTCAATTTGAATCTAACTTTTGAACAACTACAAATAATTCAGATTTGCCATCTAGGTTACTGAGAATTTTTTTTAATCAAAAAACATTCTTGACTTTTTCGTTTCGATTTCATTTTTAGTGAAGTCAAATTTCTTCTTTGGGCCTAATCAAAAAATTCTAGCTATTTTTTTATAAAAGATATAAGTGTTGAATTATAGATTAACTCAATATTAATTTCATGATTTTTATAAATTAATCAAAAAATATGAAATGATTAGATAGGATTGGAAATTGATTGAAGAATAAAATATTGATGATTATTATATGTATTGAATGATATTATTGTACCTTCACTTGGTATAGAAGGCACTAAATCAATATCTTAGCCACACAAGATATACTATGGGATCTCAATTATTATAAAAGCACTAAAGAAGAATAGATATAACATACAATAAAAATTTTATACACAAACTTACATGCATCCCACTGTTTGTCTAATATTGAGTGTTACACTTGATAAGGACCAAAAAGAGGTACTCTATCCTAACCATAAAATGAGACATTTCACCAAAATTAAGATAACGAGAAATTATTCATTAGCTCAACACCCCTCAATTTTTTCGGCAACTCACAATGCATCAAACAAGTCTGAGGTAACGATAACTTTGTTTCAAGTTAATTATTTATTTTTATTTTCATTTGTGGCAAGTAGACTAATTAAGACACCTAGGTTGTTGAAATACATATGACATGTACAATAGAAATGTCTAAGACTTCTTGTGTTATGGTTATAAGTAGATTAATAATAGACAATGTAGTATGGTGACAAAATATTACTGATCTTAGTAAATTCAAGTGTATTATAGTCAATGTAGTATGGTTATAGAACTAAGATGGATTCAAAAGAAGTAGATTTATGTTAAATATGTTTTGCTAAATTATTATAAAATCGTGTCTCACATTATTTATGATTTATTCATATTTTACATTAATTTATAAATATTGATAAATATATATTAAAAATATTTAATTATAACAAAAAGTAGAAATCTATTCATCCCCTCTTAGTCTTTCTAGTCATTTAGTGACCAACAATAAATATTTACTTTTTCTAGTCATTATAAGATCATTATTAGATCTTCTCAAAAATATGGTAGGCATTTATTTCAACTATATCACATTGAACTTCCTCAAAATATATTTTTTATTAAAAAAAATAGCCAGATAGGTTTCAAAAACTATGGCTTTAAATATTAATTAGAGAAATTCAATATATACTAGTATCATTTTTTCTTCAATTCTATTATTAGATAATGTAATAAGAAAATAATATTTTCATTGGTATTCCTATTAATAAGAACATCACACATTTTGTTGTTACTATCTACCACATTCTGAAATATTATAATTGCACATTTTTCTCTTTCTTTTATATACATCAATCTTCTTCTCTCCAATGAATAACATATTTTATTTATACTATCATATTTGATGAAATTTTATTTAGGCACAACTTTTTGACTAGCTCTTTATTTTCTCCTTATTCAATATAATCTAAGAAATTCATTATACCATGTGAGTTACACACAATTGTTGTTCATTATCAAATAGTCAAGGTTAAGATACAATAGCTGACTTTAACCTATTGTTAGGTTTTAAGTCATGCTCAAATTAAGAAAGGAGGAGGCGTGGGTTGAATTGATCAAATTTTAGTAGCCCCTAGGATAATATTTCTTTTGATTAATCATTTTCTCTTTAACTTCCTAACTCTTATGAGATTTTTAGATTGATGATAAGTGAGACCAAGTGATTTTAAAGTGATTTGACACACTATTTATGTCCATTCTCAAAGAACAAATTTAGTTATTAGGTTTCACTAATTATGATCATCTAATCATACACCACTAATTAGCAGACATAACTTCCTCATAAATTTTATTTAAATTTATGACTTTGGGTAGCCAATAATTGGTTAATGAGTTTTTCTACCTTAGGTGATGAAAGAATATTTACATCATGGGTTTATCCCATAACAAAGATGAAATATAGCATAATGGTTAGATTTTTAAAAGGCGATCTTAACTCAAAGAATGATCTGAATCTTGATGAAGAGAATGAAGCTTTAATTTCAGTTCCTATTCACATATAGATGCTAGAGGATCATATTAACAAGTATAAGGATGATTGTTTGATACTTAACAAATAATCTATGACTTTTTTTTAATCTTCATGTGTTTTGACTAGTTATCAAAGACTGCTCCTAATGTTTCTAGATTTTCTATGTACAAATAATACTCAAAGCTTGAGGTCATATGGGAGATAGATATATTTGTTCTCCCTTCATTACCCATTAGAAATTCGTGGTATTTATCAGTAAATTTTGCACAAACATCTTAGATTTATGTGATCTCCCAACTTCTTGTTTTCTTATAATAAAAATAAATTTGAATAGTTGAGAGTATCATATGCTATGTTTGTTAGACAACTTAGATATCATTATGCATATCAATTTATAATCGTAAAGCGTAACATTCATATCTAATTCATGTTGGTTTAAATTAGTTCATTTGATCATATGAACATAGAATTAATAATACATATTTAATTGCAAAATATTATAATGTAATTTTTTCTTTATATCTTGATTGGAGTCTTAATCCACTTATAAATTTTGAAAGTAGAAAAGACTTCAATTTTGTCATATCAACTCTTGAAAATTATTTTTAAAAAAATTCTGATACATATGTTAATAAAATAAAATACATAGTTGGTGATTGTAATATTATTATAGTTGGTATAAAAAAATAATATTTATGTAATATTTTAATATTACTTCAATTGTGAATTAAGTTTCTTATTCAACCTAACATGAGTGGACTAGATGGTCCCATTATCTAGAGTCTCTACCCTAATTTGTAGGTCACTAATTTGACTTATTTTTCACCTGAACTCTTTATATACTCAAAAAAATATTCTACTTCATCCAAGAAATTGAAGAATTGTTTGATTCATAAATAACTATTAAATTTAATTAAATTAATTTTCATACATAAATCTTGGCAATCATTATCTTCAAATCAACCTCTAGAACTTATTAAATAATAAGTAGAGTGATTATCATTGTTACTTTTATTGAAGATTTTTTAGTGTACTTGAAATCACAATAATTTTGTGTATATGTATAATTTTTTACTATTTTCATGCATGCTAAAATTAATTTAATATGTAATTTGCATTTTAAAGTTTTTAATGTAGTCATTGTTGAAAATTAATAAAATATCTTCATAAAAAAAACATACCTCATGAATGCCATCTTCATTGATCTTTACTCTCTTACCTCTTGACGTCTTTGAAGGCAAACATGGAACACAAAATTTTGCTGTGATACCATTGCATGCAATGTAAATGCAAACCATCATAAGATCTAAGCGTAGATCCACAAAATATAAATCTGAAAGAAAAACCCCAATTTTGAATCCATTGAATTAGAGGTTTGAACTTTTGAATTCACAAAGAGGTGACCATTAGCCCAAAAAGAATGATTTAATCCACAACTATAGAGATTAACATCACAAGATGAAAACAATTAAAATAGTATTTTAAATCGTTCCTCATATTATGATAAATGACCTTTATATTTGCCTGAAAGTAGGTGGGATGCCTCCAAAAAATGAAATAATTTTTAAATAGACCATGAGACATGATCTTAAATAGACACTTACAAACTACACAAAATCAAAATAAATTATAGAATGACAAAAAAAACTTTAAATAAAATCAAAATGTGAAATAATAAAAATAGATAGTAACTTTGTGCTTAACTAATGCCCTATTATAGTGTAGCCTAAAGACATTCTAGGAAATGTTGTATAGAGTTCTCAACTTATACAATGGGTGTTATTTGGAAATGAGAAATAAAGTCTTTGCACTGGTCTTCCCCACTTTCCTCCCGAACATAGGTTTCCTCTTTCTCCCTCCTCTTATGCAAGTTGTAATATGATATCAAAGTGGGTTAGCTCCAATAAGGTTTCATCATTACACTCTTTTTGTGCCATTCAGAAATATATTATCTTTCTACTATTTATATGATTGTTGTGTTATCATTCAAAGTAGGTTTTCCTTCCACCAATTAGAGTAGTTTTCTTTCCTCCATTTGGGGTAGGTTTATTTTCTCCCATTCAAAGGTAAATTCCCTTTTCTTGAGTCCTCTAGTCTCCTGACTATGAGTTTAATATTATCGGAAGGAAAGTGGCTCCTATAGTAATCTTGGTCTACCAATAGTATGCCCAAGTTTATCAGCAACAAGTTCATAAATAGCATCTTCAAGTCAATTGACAACATTTTCATTTGTATCAAGTTTTCCTGACTATGAGTTTAATATTATCGAAAGTAAAGTGACTCCTATAGTAATCTTGGTCTACCAATAGTATGCCCAAGTTTATTAGTAACAAGTTCATTAATAGCATCTTCAAGTCAATTGACAACATTTTCATTTGTATCAAGTTTTCCTGACTATGAGTTTAATATTATCGAAAGTAAAGTGACTCCTATAGTAATCTTGGTCTACCAATAGTATGCCCAAGTTTATCAGCAACAAGTTCATAAATAGCATCTTCAAGTCAATTGACAACATTTTCATTTGTATTAAGTTCTCATGACTATGAATTTTGATATTATCAGAAGTAAAGTGACTCCTATAGTAATCTTGGTCTACCAATAGTATGCCCAAGTTTATCAGCAACAAGTTCATAAATAGCATCTTCAAGTCAATTGACAATATTTTCATTTGTATCAAGCTCTCTGGTATAAAGTCCAAAGTGTCTAGCTTCATCATCAATGTTTTCATCTTTGTTAATGGTGTGTTCGTCTCCATCAACAGTGCCTTTGTCTTCCTCAATGGTATTCTATTTTTGTCTTTTTGTCATCACCCATGTTTTGTTTAGCTCTTATTTCCTTTGTTATCCAAGGTGACTTCTTATAAAGTTCATTGAGGGAGAGTAACCTAAGGGCATTTTAGGAAATACTATATAATTGGTGTTACTTGGAAATGAGAAATCAAGTCTTTCTGCCACTCCTTCCTCTGTCCTTTTATAAAAGTCATAATGGGCCCAATTAAGTTTTTGGGCCGTCATGACACAACCCAAAGTGGATGAGCCTCTAATTTTGAGTTTCTCTTAGCTTATTCATTCTAGAGTAAGTCAAGAAGTACCTTGAGATTGAAGTAAAAGCTGATGAGGGTTAGTCAAAAAAAAATATTGAGAGGGTATGCAAAAAAATAAAATGGTTTATGAGGACCTAAATTAAATTAAAATGTCCTTTCTAATAGTAAGATATTTACAATTTTTTAGGCTTATAATGATAACTGCTGAAATAGAGGGGTTATTATTAATTTAACCTCCTTCGTCCCGAGAAAATGGTGGACGGAGTCCAGCCCCTCCCCGCTCTCTCTTTCTCTCTCTCTCTCGCTACGTTCCGTCTTCATTGGCCTGCCGCCGCCTATAGAAACAACGACGAACGGCATGTATGCCGGCATGAGAGAGAGAGAAAGAGAGAGAGAGAGGACTGTTCTTCCTCTTTCCGCCGCCGGCGGAACCGAGCAGGATTGCTCATCAGTAATTCAGCATATTTGTGGAAGCAGCGAACATCAAATAATGCTTTCTCCTTCGGTGGGCCAGGTCGTGCAGGAGAAGAAGTCCGCCGTCTTGGAAAGGAGAACCGTGTGGGATTCTTCCTGGTTTTCCCATCGCCGCCATGACGAAGCTCGTGCTTTCCCCTCGGCCATGGTGCTTGAGGAGTTTTGGAGGGAGAGAGAGAGAGAGAGAGAGGCAGAGAGGGGTGTTCTTCCTCTGTCCGCCGCCGGCGAAACCGAGCAGGAGCGCTCAGCAGTAATTCGGCAGATTTGCGGAAGCATCGAACATCAAATAATGCTTTCTCCTTCGGTGGGCCTGGTCGTCTGGCAGGAGAAGAAGTTCGCCGTCTTGGAAAGGAGAGCCGTGCAGGATTCTTCCTGGTTTTCCCATCGCCGCCATGACAAAGCTCGTGCTTTCCCCTCGGCCATGGTGCTTGAGGAGTTTTGGAGGGAGAGAGAGAGAGAGAGAGAGAGAGAGAGAGAGAGAGAGAGAGAGGCAGAGAGGGGTGTTCTTCCTCTGTCCGCCGCCGGCGAAACCGAGCAGGAGCGCTCAGCAGTAATTCGGCAGATTTGCGGAAGCATCGAACATCAAATAATGCTTTCTCCTTCGGTGGGCCTGGTCCTCTGGCAGGAGAAGAAGTTCGCCGTCTTGGAAAGGAGAGCCGTGCAGGATTCTTCCTGGTTTTTCCATCGCCGCCAAGGCGAAGTTCGTGCTTTCCCCTCGGCCATGGTGTTTGAGGAGTTTTGGAACTCTTCTCCGTCCTCAATCCTCCCTGCGGACGGAGGGATTGCTTCTTAATATCCGAGACCTGAGGAGCGATTGCCTGGTCCCCCGAGGAGGAGCGAACTTCCGGTTGGCCATCTCCAGCGGCGGCGGATCCTTGCTGGTTAGGACCACCCAGACTCCGCGAGTTTCTGATCTCTGCATCAGCATAAAGTCGAAGAGAATCCCAAAAGTTACCTGACAGTACAGTGAATCGTGATCTCCCTCCTCTGTCGCCCTCACGCGGCGGCGATCCGTGTGGCGCGTCTTCGTCTCCATTGAAGTTGATAGAAGAAAGGGGAGCGAAGGATCTCCGCACGTTCCTGCGCTGCATTTTGAAAAGCAACATTTCTGGGCCTTCTTCTCCATGGCGAAACCCGGGCCATCATGATTGACCGTGGAGTCTGGAGTCGATCGCCTTGGGGAGATAATGGAGTTGTACTTCGTACCTGGTTTCAACTGTGGGCTCCCTCTCGGAAGATGACAAGAGGAAGAGACCGGAGGTAGGGGACGACTGCGACCGGCTCGGCGTGCAGGATACTTGGTCCTCCATCGAGTGCCAAATCTGATCGAATCCGCTCCTTTCTCACGTCATTTCTTCTCCATCATCATCCGGTTCTTCTATCGTCATCGACAATCTTGCCCAGGGTGAAGCCCCCCGGTGGCGACCGAGTTCTCCATCTGGTGTCGCCGGAGCAGGCGAGGATCTACCATGGCCGGCGAGTGTCTACCCTGTGGGGATTTGGATCGGACTGTGCCTCTGAAGAACTCGAGAGTTTGACTTTCTTCCCGATTTTGCTCTGCAGACGCATTGATCAAGCGGGGGGGCTCCATTGCCGTCCTCTTCCTGTTCCTGCTGCTGCAGCTCTGCCTTGGAAGGCCCGTAGGAGCTCGGAGAGAGGTCGTCACGTCCAAGCATGGCGCGGTGGCCGCCGACGATGGCCGGTGCTCGAGGATCGGGAGGGACGTCCTCCGCGAAGGTGGGAACGCCGTGGACGCCGCCGTGGCGGTGGCGCTGTGCCTGGGGGTTGTCAGTCCGGCGTCGAGCGGCATTGGTGGCGGCGCCTTTCTGCTCTTGAGGCTGGCCAACGGCACCGCGCTGGCCTTCGACATGAGGGAGACAGCTCCTCTCCGAGCCTCACAGGTTCTTCTTCTTCTCTACCCGGAGATCGCCCTCGTTCTAATGGATTCTATACAAGAACATGGCGAATCATAGTCCTGATAAAAACCGCATTATTGGAGAAAATTTCTTGGATATTATATCATTATTTTCCCATGAACTGGAATGAGATGTCCCACGCTTCTTTCAGAACATGTATACTGGAAACCCTGCCTTGAAGTCAAGCGGAGCGCTCTCGGTAGCAGTTCCAGCGGAGCTTGCAGGCCTCCACAAGTTCTGGAGGGAGCATGGAAAGCTCCCATGGAGGCGCCTGGTTATGCCAGCTGCAAGCCTGGCCTTCAAAGGCTTTCGGATATCCCCCTACCTGCACATGCAGATGGTCAGAACCCAGTCAGGCATCCTGGCGGACAAAGGGCTCAGCGAAATATTCTCAGTCAACGGTACTCTCCTACAGATTGGTGATCTATGTAGGGATGAGAAGCTCGCAGAGACTCTCAGATCCATTGCAGTTCATGGGCCTGGATCACTCTATAATGGCCCCGTCGGAAGAAAATTAATCGGAGACATTCAGAGATCTGGAGGAATACTGACGATAAAAGACTTGCAGAGTTATCGGGTGAAGGTGAAGAAACCTCTCTCTTCTGTGTTCATGGGGCTCGAGCTCCTGGGCATGCCGCCGCCTTCTTCTGGTGGTGCTGGAATGATGCTGGTGAGTGCCAAATCATCTAAACCATTTATTTATTATCGCCTGTTCTTCTGGTTTATATCTCCATGCTTAAAAATAAATAATAATAGTAATAATAATAATAATAATGTTATTTGACCCAGGTTTTAAATATTCTTGCACAATATGGGTTACCATCTGGGATATCAGGTGCCCTTGGACTCCACCGAATCATCGAATCGCTTAAACACATGTTTGCTGTGAGGATGAACCTGGGTGACCCAGACTTTGTGGATGTCTCCGATGTGCTGTCCGATATGCTTTCTGTGAAATTCGCTGAGAGCTTGAAGAAGGACATTTCTGATAATAAAACATTTGATTCAAAGCATTATGGTGGAAGGTGAGAACTATAATTTAATTTACTGTTATGTTTTTATTCTTGTGATCTGGGATTAATCATCGGACACGCCTCTTTTTTATTTGTATGGTTTTCTGAGGACCCAACCAATTTTTTTTTTAATTCATCAGTGAATAGTTGGGTGAACGGATCTCATTTCTAGGAACATCAGTTTTGCTTGTGATGCTGCTATAATTTCCATTGGGTTAACCTTCGAGTTCATGGGATATTAAGTAATATCATTGAAAAAAAAAAGGTAATTGTTTTTTGAGTAAAAATTGTATTTGATCCTGGCGAAATCACTTTTATTCATGGTATTGATGTGATTTCGGCTGGGATTAAATAAGATAATTTGCAAGAAAATTTCAATATTTGTTTCTTATAAAATTCTGTGGAATAAATTTCACTCACGATATTGGTATAATTTTTATACTGACAGGAAAATCAAGCAATATAATTTGCAAAAAATCCAAATGTTTTTTATAAAAGAAAACTTGTATTCTATCCAGGTGGAATCTGTCATTTCCATTGGATTAAACCTTCGTATTCATGGGAGATTAAACAGTATCAAATACGAAAAAATTCCCATTATATTTTCTAATAAAGATATTTATTTGATCCAGGTGGAATCAACTGGATGATCATGGCACAAGTCACTTATGTGTCGTCGACAGCTCCCGGAATGCAGTTTCTATGACGAGCACGATCAATTCCTATTTTGGGGCTGTTATCCGGTCACCAAGCACCGGGATTGTGCTGAACAACGAGATGGATGACTTCTCAAACCCCATCAATGCCTCTGGGAATGTACCGCCACCTGCCCCAGCGAACTTCATTCGCCCTCTGAAGAGGCCGTTATCCTCCATGACACCAACTATCGTGGTCCAGGTGAGCCCAGAATCTCACCCATCCGAGGATCATTGATATCAGTTTGAATTAATCGAAGAAAACCATTTTTTAGCATATTTTTCTGCAATTGTGTTTAATGGAGAATTTCATTTTTAAGGATGTTTCTTCTTGGGTTCCTCTTTAGACGGCTGTTGAATCGAAATCCTTTCTGGGCCTTTCAAAAAATTGGAATTGTCCCACCCTAAATAATTAAATAAATAAAAATTAATTAATGAATTAATTAATTAATGTGGAGACCAATGATGAGGAAAAGCTTGGAAGCTCAGACTGGCCATAGGGAATCGGCTGGTATTTCTTCCTATTTATGGCATGCTCACTGTTTGAAGAGTTTATCTCACTATTGGATGATCGTATCTGATTGCTTCTGGCCTGCTGGTTCTGCAGGACGGGCAGCTGAAGGGGATAGTTGGAGCAAGTGGGGGCGCCATGATCATTGCAGGAACCATAGAGGTTTTCTTGAATCATTTCGCCAAAAAGATGGATCCCCTTTCTTCTGTTATGGCCCCTCGAGCTTATCATCAGGTATAAAACAAGGTCTCACGCTCATGAACTTGATTGTTTCCTGTGTTTCTCTTCTCTATGATCAGAGACGATCGCCATCAATCTAAGTAGAACGAAGAACTCACTTGCCAGAAATCTAGGAGCCCTGTTATAATCTTGTTCTTGCTGAGGAAGAACCCCGGAAACCTAGGATCATCCAGCTCAATTACTTTCTTCAGAAATTTATCTTTTTTTTTTCTTCTAAAATCACCACTGGATCATTAGAGATATTAACATTAGTTCTTCTCACAGAGTATAATCTCCCAAAACCCATGATCCAGACATAGTTTGTATTAATTAAAAAAATTTCTGCCTCCAGTTGATCCCTAACGTCCTCATGTATGAGAACTGGACGACGGTCTCGGGGGACTACTTCGAGGTTCCTGGCGATATTCGGGCGGCGTTGCAGAAGAAGGGCCATGTCCTCCAAGCCCTCGCCGGCGGCACCATCAGCCAGCTGATAGTCCACAACCTGGAGGATTCAGCCTCCGATCATGGGGTCCGCAAGGGGACACTCACTGCTGTGAGTGACCCTCGAAAGGGTGGCTTTCCTGCTGGCTACTGATCCGCTGCTGCCGCTGCCGCCACCACTGCTGCTGCCGCTGAAGCTCACATTTATTTACTTTCTTTTTTTCTACAGAGATTGGTGAAAACGGGTGTGAGGTATTAAGGGGAGGGTTTTCTTGGAATGAGTCCTAGATGTCTGTATTCTCATGTTGCTCTGTTTCACTCCGCAGAAAGAGATTATGAATTTATGCTTTCCTTCCAAGATTGTGTACCGGGCTGTGTCAGCATGCTTGGTTTGATTCTGACTGAATTTAGCATCAAAGTCAAACCCACCCACAGAAAAAAAAAAAGGCCCTTCTCTCTCTCTCTCCATTGACTGTTTATCTCTCTCTCTATCTTGTCTCTAGGATACGAGCTCATGGTGGGTTTGGGATGAAGCATGGTCGGCCTCAATTAATTGCATGGAAGATTGTGTTTTGGCAGAAATATTTGCGACGACCTCCAATGTAACTTGTATTTTCCTCGGATCACCGAGGAATGTGTGCTTTTAGTGATCGGATTTGGGCTAAAAGACACCAATTTTGAAAACCCATATGAGATCATCCGACGCAAAGATCCATTCTGAAGATGACAGCGCCTGCTTGATCTCTGATATTAAAAAAATACTAATTATATGATTATTTTAGTTCATGTTGAAATGCTTCTTGAACGATGTTCGACTGGGATTGCCCCATCTCCTGCAGAATCGGATATGCTCTCCATTTCGATCTCATCTCAGTCGGCGTCGCCGGTAGCGGTCACCTGTTTCGGCGGCGATCCCAAAGGCTACACGTCGGATTTCTATTTATTTTCCATGAAAATGGTAGGAGAGACTTAATACCTATCATCTGGGTCGAATTCAATGGCCCCATCCGCCTCCTCTATAACTTGTTTTCCCGTTTGATCAGAATTATCGTCGCCATCGCCCCCGCCGCAGGACCTCCTCCGAAAGCTTCTTCCCGGTAGGCTCTTCTGCTTCTTCTTCCTCGATCATCGTAGCATCTGTGTCTTCCTCCGTTTCCATCCGAAGCGTCTGAATGTATTCCTGGGTCTTAACCCGGTCCTCTACTTTTTTCGGTTTCATGTTCTTGATTGATCTTCCCCGTTGGCTGCGATTTCTAGGCCTCGATCGATGGATTCGCCTGGCGGGGCTGCGGCGGAGGATCAGCAGGAATTCGCGGGCCGGGTGAAGTCCTTCTTCGAGTCGGCCCCGCCGCTGGTGGACGGCGAGAATGTCTCAAAGAAGATAGCAGGGTTTATAAGCCGCAACAGGCGAGCTTCAGGCATGCTTGATGTTCTGAAGCAAAAGCTTGAAGTCCTTGATCTTTAGACTGCTCCTCGCTGGTGACCAGAAGCTCTGACTTTGCCCGTTTTCATGGTTATCAGAGGAGGGGAGGCCGAGCCGGGTCGTCTGCGTGACCTCAGGGGGCACGACCGTCCCTCTGGAGCAGCGCTGCGTCCGCTACATCGATAATTTCAGCTCCGGCCACAGAGGAGCCACATCAACCGAGTATACTTTACTTAGCAAGATCCCCTGATAGAGTTACGACCTTTACGACTTTCTATCTCTACCCATCTTGATGCAGGTACTTTGTCAAAGCTGGGTATGCTGTCATCTTCCTCCATCGCCGGTAGAGCTCGGAGATCATCCGACATCACCGATTCCTGTTCAGAGTGTGATGTGATGTGATATTTTTCTATGCTGAGGCAGTGGGTTCGTGTTCGCAGGGGGGCCTACCAGCCGTATTGCAGATACCTTCCTGAAGATTCGTTCCTCGACTTCTTCGAGGTCACCGAAGGATCTGCAATCCGAGGTTCGCCAATTCTATTCAAACTTTTTTTTTTTTTGGTTTTTTTTTCATGGGGTTTTTTCTCTCTCGTGGATTTATTATTTATTCGTGATCATCCAACTACAGTCACCATTTTTTTCTTCCTAAATGCTTCCAGTGTGTGAATCGCATGCCAAGGAGGTCACCAGGGCGATAAGAGATTATCGTGCGGTATGAATGTTCATCATATGAACTACCCTTGGATTATTCTTGCCTTTGAACGATGAAAAAAACCAAGTTTTTGCTCATTACAGGCGGTGGATGGAGGCCTGCTGCTGAAAGTACCCTTTACATCGATCTTCGAGTACCTGCAGGTCTGATGCAACTTAATGCGTTGGAATGGAGACGACCCAGATAATTTTGATTAATTTTCTGCACGATTTGGCAGACTAAAACCCCCTGAAGGTTATATACATGCGCATATAAAAAAATAGAATCTAGTATAGTTTTTCTCTGGGCACATGAATTGTGGTATATACGGCAGAAAGGCCACAACAGTCGCTCATACCGGGTTGAAGATATTCGTTGACTTGGGTGATAAGCATCTGGGAATCTGCGGTGAGTGCTATTTTTTTTTTTTTCTCTCTCACCATTGAGGTTGAATATCTCCATTTAGGGAGATATTTGTGGCATTGTTGATCATCCAGGATCATACGTGAGACCATTGATGTGGGTTTTGAGGTGTAGAATCTTCTGTGGAATGTGGGCCGCTAACATAATCTAATGGCCAAGTAACTAGATAAGGCTTGCATACTATGTTCCTAAATTTAGATATTCTCATTTATTTATTTTTTAAAAAAGCTTTTTATATGCAATCTCAGGAGAAGATCATGATTCTAACATGCTTGAATTTACCTATTTGGCCACAGATATTACAGATTGTGGCTGGATCGATGAAACCTCTAGGCTCATTTGGAATGTTCTATCTTGCGGCCGCAGTGTCAGACTTTTATGTTCCTTGGGAGAGCATGGTATGAAATCCGGCGATTTTTTTTTTTCCTCTTCCACATATATTTCAGAATTTTCAAATCCATCCTATTTATATGATTATTAGCCTTGATCGCCAGATGTGAATGCTCATGATCGAAAAGAGTAGGCTCGTGAATTTTCCCTGGAATTCGGATACATTTGCGATTTTTTGAATTTTTTAGTGACTAGAGAATGAATCTTGGAGAAAATACAAACATACATAGAAGTCACATAATTCTCTGGAGGTCACAGTTCCATAAACGTCAGGTAATTTTTGTTGCAGGAGGAGAAAGAATTGCCCAACTCTTTAATCACTTGATATTCCTGGGAAATAATGATTATTTTATCTATAAATTTACCTTTTTTTTTTGGTATGAATAAATTCGACGAACGCTGGGTAAGGAGAGATATTAATCTCCATTTTTCGCAGAGAAAATGCGCTAATAATTTTTTTATTATTTGACATAGCTTGTACAATGTTGTTAAACTTATGTGCGTGTATGAAGGCGGAGCATAAGATCCAATCAGCTGGTGGCCCTCTGGACATGAGGCTTGCTCCTGTGCCGAAGATGCTCTCACTGTTGAGGAAAGAGTGGGCCCCCATGGCGTTCTGCATATCATTCAAGGTCTGCTCCTCTATCAAACCCCCCCCCTCCCCCCAACCCACCCCCTTCAGAGGGGAGGACCCACCCCATATGGATTCAAGATTCTCAGAATATTATTTATTTATTTATTTAGTTATTTAATTCTTGGATGTGCTGAAAAAATGAGAATGGGTACGCTGGATCGATCCTGTTGAGGGGGCAGGGGAAGACATCATATGGATTCAAGATTCTCAGAATATTATTTATTTATTTATTTATTTAGTTATTTAATTCTTGGATGTGCTGAAAAAGATTATTTAGTTATTATTTACTTCATAGGAAAATTCCTGAAAATTCTTGGCCTTTCTCAGCTTTAACTGGCTCTCTGGTTTATTTCATAAAATAGTAGCGTTTGAAAAGTCAGATGAGAAAATTGCGTGAAAATTCTATGCTTTTTATAGCCGCCTCATGAATATTTATGGTCTCTAAAAATTTGTTACTAAATACTTTTATTTTTATTTTATTTTTTTGCCCCCTCTGGAACCAATTTTCTCGCACCTTTGGCAGTTGGAGACAGACTCGGATATCCTGCTCAAGAAGGCTGACATGGCACTGAGAAAGTATGGGATGCATGTAGTCGTAGCCAATGAGCTGTCTACACGTAAGAAGGAAGTCGTCGTCGTCACAGAGACTGGGAAAGTCAAAGTTAGAACAGACGAACAGCACAGGGAGGTCGAGGAGAAACTCATTGACCTGCTCATAGAACAGCATTCCCACTACATTGAAGAGTCGGAGAAGGATGCGGTCAACGGGTAGGCATCTGGCACATGAAGATCGTTCGTCCACTCATCTTTGTGGATCGCACTGTTCACAGTCTGTGGGTGGGTTATCCTAATAAATAACCCTAATATGAGGAATGACTTAAACCCTAATAACACGGACAATTTCCTTTTTTGGTAAATCAAGGGATATTTATAGGCCTCGGCCTGACATTTTTCTTCTATCTGGAAGGCCTATAAGAACGCATAAAGATCCACACAGCTCCAAGTATGTGGGCGGGTGGGTTTCAATTCCTGTATGAGGAATCAGGGAATTCCCTCCCCAGAAGATGGGATCTTTTCTTTTTTTGGTAAACGAGGATTATTTTGAAGCTCAGTTCGATTTTTTTATTAAATGTGGAACGTTTCCAAGCACCTAGCCGAAAACTGAATTAATTGCCTTCTTTCGGGTAATTTTGGAGGTGATGTTCAAAATAATAATTCATTTACCACGGCATGACATTTATTTCATAACTCAATCCGTCTGAGGATTAGTGGAGAAATATTTATTTACCTTTAGATACTCAATTGATGTAAGAATATGGATTATTCCCTTTTTGGGTAAATAAAGACAATCATTGATTTCGCTTTGGAATTTTTCCTAGCACTAGAACAGCTACAACCGAGAGAGAGAGAGAGAGAGAGAGAGAGAGAGAGAGAGAGTCACGGTGAACTGGCTAACTTAATGGGATGTACAGCCCAAACAAATCCGAACTCTTCAAGGAGCTTCAAGTCAAACATACCAGACATTCCGGAAAGAGGGAAATAGTTAAACCCATTTACAAGACCCCAACAGCGGCAGGCCTTCACTTCCTCCCGCTGGTCCCGATGCGCGGCTTCGCCTTCACCTCGGATTCCTGCCCACCAGAGAGAGAGAGAGAGAGAGAGATCATGGGAGAGTGATGATGGGTCAGCAGAAGGGAAAGAGGGGCCACGAAAATGGTAAAGATAATATGAAGAAATAACCAACACCAACGTGTGGAATATCAGTCATGAAAAAATGGATGGTAATAGAGAAGCCCAGACGATGGGCCCAAAGCTTATGAAAGGAGAGAGAGAGAGAGAGAGAGCTTTGGGCTTCTTCCATCCCGTACTACTGTATCAAAGGCCCGAATGGGAACCGGGCCTGGGCCTTTTTTTCTTTCTGAGCTTGATTTTCGGGCCTGAGCCAGGAAAGCCCAGACGGCGCTGGGGCAGACCATTCCTTGCTAAACGAAAAAAGGTGGGATTTTGATCCAGAGGAGAGAGAGAGAGAGAGAGAGAGAATAAAATAAAGCAAACCTGGGGAGTGTGGAGGTAGATATGGGTCTTCGCCGTGGCCGGATTGTGGTTCTCAGCACCCTTGCTCCAGTCATAGCACACCTGCACATCACCGTAGACCTTGCCTTCATTAATGTTTAACACATAAACATATATCTACTGATTAGTTATGAATTATTATTAATATTATACATCAGAAAAACAGCATGCAATGATTTTTTATTTTATTTTATCTTGAATAATGTATGTATATACATATATATATATATATTCTGGGTCAGAGAGGGTTGATGAAACATACAGCATAAGCGAACACAGAGCCATCATGATTGAAGGTGCTGCAGGGGATGGGGAGATTGCACCTCGAGAAAGCCTGACAAAAGGAAAATGCAGGAGTAATAAAAATAATTATAGAGAAAATCCGGGATGTAATCTGCACCGATCAAGAAATACTACACCGATGAAATACTGTTCCTGCCCATAACATTACTAGAATAACACGATTCATAATGCGCACGCAAAATAAATAAATAAATAAATGAAAACAATTGCGTCGTGAGACAACAAAAAATCTAGAAGAATCTTCATTCGGAGAGACGTTCCTAGTTATTTCTCATCATCCGACGAACACTCCTGAGAGGAGACTCAATATTCTAGCATAGTTTTTTCTACCAGGCAAGCAGAGGATTTTACTTACCGTTAGATACTACTACCATATGTGCGGTGGTATTTTCTCATGCATCAATAAAAAGAAAGTAGCCAGTGACAGCAGCATCTCACATGCATATCCCGGCTCTCATGGAATTAAACCATTCATATCAATCACCAATATCCAGGCTCAACACCATGTCACTGCAGATTTTTACTCACTGTTGTTTCAAGACACTTGAGAATCGAAACTGTGAGCATCGCACAGAATACTATTCGATGTTGGATAGCTCCCAAAGGCGTTGCTTCTGTGAGCAGATTCATAAGCAAATAATATGCGTGCAAGTCTGTCTACAGGATGGTTTTCCATGAAAATTCTGTGGGTGAGAAATTCATCTGATGGGCGGGGGTCCCCCTTATGTCAGCTGATGTGATCAGGTATGTGAACGGAGTAGGATGATAAACTTGAAAAAATTGAAATTCAGTGGCGTGAAGAATAATCATAATAACGAATAATACATTCGAAAATACTTCATGTAATTTCCCCAAAATGGCATCTGTATACATTTATTCCTAGTGGAGAGCATACCTTGAGCCTCTGTTTGCTGTCTTTGTCCCAGAAATTGAAAGCACCATCAGACCCTGCTGTTGCAAATGTGTGATGTACCTGCAGAACAGAAAATAGACAAATCAATCTGAAATCTGCGGAAAAATAAAATAAAATATCTAAAAATGAAACGCATTACCAACTCTAAGAAGAGGTAGTAGATTATACACGGAAGAATCAGTTTCATGCAGAGAATCTCAACGACAGACTGAGTTTGGCAAACTGTATGCAATTGCAAAGGGAGGTAGTTGTTGATTGAGTAAGACGGGAAGTATCAGACACTCCCATCAAATAAGCAACATCTAGAATGAGTTTCTAATCTTGTCAAGCTGAAAAGAACACAAGCAGAAAAGATAAACCTCATTCTGGAAGAGGTTGTTACCTCATAAGGTAACAAGTAAATATCTCTTCTCACAAACGTAATAATAATGCGTGAGCATGAAGAAAAAAAAAACGGAAATAAACAAAGTCCAGATGAAAAAACAAACAGGAAATCCCCAACTTCATCATAGGATTAGAACTTACGGGATGAAAGTTCAATGAATTAACAGAGTAGATGTCATTTCCTTCTCTGTGGCATTTGAATGTGAAGTTTTTACTTTGTTGGGCATCGTCCAAATGCTGCACACCAACCCTTCCCTCTATGGATCCCACCTGCAAGCAAGAGAAATAAAATAGAGATAGATATATGTCAAGAACAATACTCATAGGATTAAAAGCTGTGTGGAGCAGAAAGATGATACAAGAGCAACGAGAAGTGTAAATTAGACACTAGCATAAATTTAAAAACCAGCATCCAATTTAAAACAGTTGAAATTTTAAAAAGTTCAGCACCAAACCAACATACAATTTAGCATATAACAGTGGTGTCAACGTACCGCCAAATCGCCTCTAACCCAGCAACGTGCTAGATTTTTAGTATCTATGATAAAGCTTATCACTGAATGGTACATAAGAAAATACGTCCTCTAAATTTTCTGATACAGAAAGGAATTCTATGGGCTCTCCCAATAATGCAGAAGGATCATCCTAGCTTTCCAACACTGGCCTCCGATCAAAACTTCTAAGAACAAAATTCCAAAATGTATAATGATTTGACCATCCAGTAGTGGAAACCCCAAGTACATCAGATCCCAACAGCTTCGGTAAGTACCACGTCCTATTATCTTGAATATCAACAGTACGCCTTCCTCCAGTGTAAAGTTGTCGAATTTCTTTGAGCTGAGATTTTTACAACTGCATTCTATCCAGGACTCATTGCCACGTCCCAACAGCATCACTTTTTTCCTCAGCAGGGGGCTTGCATCAGGATACCACACAAGTGAAGATTCCTGCATAATGTTCTTTTGAAAATTCACGGAGAAGTCGAGCATTCGGTAAAGAATGATGGCAAAGTGTAGTGCATGACAAAGCCAAACAAAGGCATATCCACGCACATATATACTATCATGTTTCCTCATGAAAAGAGACCCCTCTTTGGTCTTACTAATCCTATATACGTAGTGTATGCTATTATGCCTTTCAATCTAAACAACTTGCATGAAGCAGAATCCCTCGCTCCCCAGCCTGACCCTAACGTTACCCAACCTGCCCCTAACACTTCTCAGCCTGACAAGAAATAAATTATCTGACTTCAGCTCATACTGACAGCGGCATGAAGAAATGTTGGAGGGGATATTGTTTTGAAGGGAAATCACCAAATTCATAACCAATAACTCCAGGAAGTCAAAGTGCATAATGCCGACAGTTGGAATTTGCTAAACAAATCAATACTTTTGCAGGAACTCAAAGCCAATTTGATGGTGATTACTAGTTTCGTTTTTTTAGAAGAAATAGACGAAAAAGACATTTGTACACAAAAATTCAGGAATTAAGAATGGTATTGATCATTTCTCCATTACACATAAAGTAAGTAGCCTTCTACTGCTTGTGAACTCGTTGAGATTCTCCAAGCAATTTGATGATGACTATTAATTTCTTTTTTTAGAAGAAATAAGCGAAAAAGAAATTTGTACACAATCAGAATTAAGAATGATAATGATCATTTCTCCATTACACGTAAAGTAAGTAGCCTTCTACTGCTTGTGAACTCGTTGAGATTTTCCAAGGCAATTTGATGATGATTATGATTTTTTAGAAGACAAACGAAAAAGACATGTGTACACATAATTCAGGAATTAAGAGTGATATTGATCATTTCTCCATTACACGTCAAGTAAGTAGCCTTGTACTGCTTGTGAATTCGTTGAGACTCTCCACTACGGTATCACTGATTTGTTTCTTGATTTTTCAAAATCTAAAGTAAAATAGCTCAATCTTGATGAAAACCTCCGAGAGAAATGTGTCTTCACTCGTCATTCTACTCTTATTTTGAAGAGATAAGCATCCAGGATATTGGAATTCTAAAGGTATGGAGTGATTCACAAATAAGGAGGAAAGACAATGATCCAAAGCAACATTCACACGGAATCATTTGAGTAATTAAAGAATTAAAAATTTACCAAGAATCCTTGCTGATCAGGAAATGCAGCGACACATCTTGTTTGGTATTTGAGAGGTGACATTATACGCTTGTATTCGGTCTGTTCGAGGTCAAGAAAAACATGAAACATCATGGTCCGGAATATGAAATGATCAACAATAACTAGTTAACAATAACATTTGAAAAAGGAAACATTTTCCTATTATTAAAATTTGGCTGTCTCAAATTCAATGCCAAAGGGAGTTAGATGTCAACAAATACCCATTCACACTATTATTATATAACTTCATTGTCATGGATCGTTGCTCACTGTACAGGGATATATCATCTAAATTTGTTCTGTTTGAACGCCTATCCTCAGGTTCCTCATAATCGAGCATCATTATTTTCTCAAGAATAATAACAACCACAAGTGATACTGATGCAATGGTTGACCTCCTAAGTATAGGGTAAACCTGAGGAATGATCAAAGAGTCAGTACATGTTAACATTTTGGGCATCCACATCTCTGTGAGATGTTTCGACGTTCGTGACAAGGTAATCTTAAGCAACAGAAGCCTATCAATACGCAATGAGCACAGGAAGTGGGTAGCGAAGGATCTTGTTTGAAGACACATATGCAAGCAGGGAAGACGTTAACAGGTTTGCTTAAGCTTAAGGACAACTGGAAAAGGTCTTGGATAGACTGGGGAGAGAACATAAAAAAAGGGAAAGAAACCATTTCAACATTGGCATATCCACACAACGGATGAAAATGAACATTGTGTTTGATACCTGAGGATTTTGCAAATTAAAGACAACCAAATTTCGGTCTGCTGTACCAACAACCATTAAAGGATATTGGACTGTAAGTGCATAACAACGGTCAGGAAGTAGCTGTGTATGAACTGGATTTGGTTGTCTGGTATCCCAATACCTACATAAAAATGATTTGATGTCAATTATATATAAATGGAACAAGAGGAATGCAAGTCAAAATATTACTTATTTTCAATTTAGACAGTGAACAGTTAATCAGTGGGGAAAAAAACGAAATTAATAATGTTCTCAGGCACAAATCACACAAAGGTCAAAAATACTCATGAAAACTGTGAAAAAATGAGGCCTCAATTTCAACAACAACAAAGATAATGACACTAAAAATCAGGATACAAGCACTTAGATGCAGTTAGAAAACTATTAAGTTATTGTTCAGTGGTTAAAGATTTATCAGAGAAGATGAAAATGATTGTGCACATCAGTTTGGCACTAGAGTTAATGTAGAGAATAAAATAAGCTTCTGTTTGATAAAATTAGTCATCCAAAAGTGTTAGTCTGTAAGCATCACGAGGAATCAATATTTATTATTTTTATTATTACTATCGTACTCCATAGTCATTTCATAATTATTTCAGCAAAAGTACAACTAACAGGAGAAAAAAAAAGTTCAATAGTGAATTTCTCTAAATGCTTTTCACATTTTCCGGACAGGAGTCTCACTCCAGCTGAGATTAGGAAACAATGCCCCACGTGCCACTGAAAACTAGTTCGCACGAGGGACACCCAGAATGCTTGAAATTCAAGAAGAAAATGCATACGCCATTACAGAAATGCAAAGTTTGATTCTTACCGAGAACATTGATTGCTGAAAAGATTTTACAACTAAGATAAATATTGGACCAAATTTATAAAAAATATATATGTAGTATCAATTAAATAAATTAAGGGTATAGTAGCAGCATGGGGCAATTTCATGATAAAATGCTGAAAGACATTATTTTTCAAAAATATCATGATTCCAATTGTATACAAATATCACCAAGGACATGTATAAATAAGAAAATGCCAATATAGCAACAAGAATGACTTCCTAATGACATTTGGTTTGCATCAACGCTAATTTTACGGTAAACTCAATGATATCTCCAGAGAATGCAATTCTATTGATAAACGAAGCCAGGAAGGAATAAATGAGGTACAATACTTATGGGAAAAAAGGAGAAGATTATATAGCTTAAAAAATAATAGCTGAAACAAAAGGACAGCTCCAATCAACGATATTCATTGATTGAAGGAGAAACAGGTAATAGACGGGGAGAAGCTTCCTGTGAAGTAACTACGACAACCAAAATTCATTAGATTGAGTGTGAAGTGGTATAAAACTGTGATTCTGCCGATTATATGTGATTCTGGAGCGTAGTGCTCTGCTAATAACAAAGACAAATTCACAGATAACGAGCAACTGAAATGAAAACCACAGGGATCATACACCAAAAAATTGACTTCTGAGATATGAAAAGGATGGAAAAATAGAAAAAAATATTAAAATATCGTCCATGACTGCTTAAGAAGAATCTAAAATTTACAAATCAGGACGTCCGCAGAGTTATAGAAAGGCAATGCACGCATACTTCAGAGTTTTATCCCAGCTCCCAGTCACAAGAAGGTTCATTTGTTGAATCCAGGCAACTTCTTTAATAGGTGCATCATGCATGGCCACTGTCACAGGTTGACCCCCAGAAAGCAAGGGCCACATTTTGGCCTGCTTATCACACCCAGCTGAGAACACTGTTGTCCCATCATCCTTCCAAGCAGAGCACAATACCTGTGCAAGAATTATTGAAAAACCGTTTAAACATTAACTTTGAAGAAGCACAAATCAGAACTTAAAATTCAGCGATATGAATCAAGTATAGTCACATAGAGTAAAAACATACAGGCTGATCATGAGAAATTGATGCTTTTGCTTGACTGCTTCCCGCCAAAATCTCCCAACACCTAACCTGAAACTCAGTAACGTAAAGAAACACAAATTCATCAGGAGAATGCCAAACATCAATCCGAAACCAATTCCATGAAAGTTTCAATAAAATTATAGCCCTCACGAAACTTGATTATCCCAAGAAGTGGAGATGAGATAATTGCCCTTTGGACTGAAGTTGAGACTAGAAATTGAATCTGCTGGAGATGGAGTAACCTGGTAGTAGAAAGTAAATGGTAACCAAGTCAGAAACATTTCTCTTTCGAGCTGTAATCTATGTTGAAACGTGGCATTCACAACGATGAGAGTGTTAACAGAAAAAAATTGTAAAGTCCAACCTGGCAAAGTAAGTATGTTGGAAAAAATTATGGTACCTCGTAGGATTTGTTGGGGTTGACGCTCGCAGAACTCAGCCCAGCTATATTAGCCATCTTTCTGCCTTCAGGAGATGGAGCAAAAAACTTTTAGCATCCCAAAAAAAAGAAACAGAAAGCAGTAACATGAAAAACACGACAAGAAAAAGAAAGCTCCTAATCAGCCGCAGTAGCCAACACGACCAGATATCGGACACGAAGAGATGCAATGCTACGACTTCAAGGCAAGAAAAGCGAATCCTAGTGCCAAATCCCACTCCAAAAAGAACCCTAGACCAGCAACATGGCTCCATGGCAGAAATCCAAGAAATCCATATCAACGACATGAGATCACCAAACAGTAAAATACAATAGAAAAATCGTAGACATAGCAACAGAGAGAGAGCAAGAGAGAGAGAACCGACCTGGCTCCTTGCCGATAGCAGAGAGAAGAGAAACAGTTCCTCTCCGCAAGGCGAGAGTGGGGTGGGAAGAGAGGAGTGGGAAAGGGAGATCTTGTTTGAAAGTAGTATATATCGTGGAAGCGCCGTGGGCTTCGATCGCTGGTATGCTCTCTCGACGGCGGTGGTTACCTCGCGTTGGCGGTCCCGTCTGATCGACGCTGGAGAAGCCGCCACGTCCTCATATCGGATTCCGGTCAATAACCCGATCAGTTTTAAAAAATAATAAAACAATACGAAATCCTTTAAACCCATAAATCAGTTTTTATTATTTTAAATATGTAATAAATAAATTACTTTGAATTTATTATTCATAACGTCTTCACGAAGCCCAAGTCCATTAAGCCGATTAATAAAAAACATTATAATTTTCGAACTTGGATAGGAGGAGTGTCGTGGACGGGTGACGGAGACAGAATCTCCCGGAAGCCAAAATCGCTTAAAGGTTGGCAGCAGCTTTCAGAGAGATTCCGATTTCTTCTGGTGCCCAGTTGACGTGTCGCCTGAAATGGAGGCACGTGGCCCTGCGTGGAGGCAGCTCACGACAAAGAGGCCACGTCATACTTAACGTCGCTGGGGAGGAGGTTCCCACTCCAGTTCCTCTCTCTGAGCAGCAGGCTCGATCGAGCAGGCGGCCGGCGCCGGCGGAGGAGGGGGAGGGTTGTAGAGGGCGAAATCCTTCGTTCCGGCGGAGGTTTGGATCTCATCGATCATGGTCTCGAGGTTAATTTTGAGCAGAGTGGGGGCGGAGGGAAGGGGGAAGCTCGGAGGGCTGCTCCTTCCGTGCTTATCCCGGCTCTTGTCGTCGGCCTCCGGTGCCGACGCAGCTGCTGCTGCCGCCGCCGCCGCCGCCGCTGCTCCTCCGGTGCTTCCTAAGTTCGATCACCAGCCGAAGCCATACTCCGGGCTCTCCGCGGACGAGATACTCCAGAAGCGCAAGACCTTCCTTGGGCCATCGCTGTTTTACTACTACCAGAAACCGGTATCCTCTCTTCCCTATTTGCGTCCGTCTACCTTGTTAGTTCGGTTTTTTATGCTTCTTTTATCGTCACGAGTCTATAACTGAAGTTTGTGATTGTGCTTGGATCTGATGGATTAAACGGCATAACGCATTTTGCGATGACTTGTAATGCATGATGTTCAACACTAAGAACGATAATAATCACATCAGCACAGGACGGAGGATATCTAAAACGATTTTCTGCTCTTTAATTAACTGTGAGCCTATTAGTTATGTGCTTCGTCCACTAGCTATCAATTTTCTTGACGCAGAACTCTCAAATTTTTAAATGCCTTCTAATTTGCACTTCAAAGATTTTTGTAAAAGAACTCAATAAATGTAGTTTTAAATGACACTCCGGTACTACTCAATTGATCATGGTTGAAATATTTCTTGCATTCAACAATTCATATTCTCGTCTGTTTTATTATACTGGTATGTTCAGCTACTTTTCTGGTTCTCCGTAGTTCAAATCCGTATTTTTTTCTCCATAGTTTTTTGACTCCTGCTTTCATTTTTGCACTTTTCTGGTTTGTGCTGAATGTAAGAGGTAGAAATGTAGTCATGATTTCTTTTTTTTTGTTTGGTGTACTTGATATCAGATCAATATTGTAGAAGGGAAGATGCAGTATCTCTTTGATGAGAATGGAAAGCGCTACCTTGATGCGTTTGCAGGGATTGTCACAGTTTCATGTGGCCATTGCCATCCAGATGTGGTGAATGCTGTGGTGGAACAAACTAAACTTCTCCAACACACCACAACAATATACTTACACCATGCAATCGTTGAGTTCGCAGAAGCTCTGGCTTCTAAGATGCCCGGAAACCTAAAGGTGATGCTTTGTCTTATTGATTGTTTTCTAATTTAAAGTGAAAAATTGAGGCTATACTTGAGGATGGCTGAAAAAGTGTGCCTGTCGGTTACATGGTCATTTTTCAAGGATACATTTCTAACATGAAGCCTTGAAGACCTGGCCTATGGATACAGGAGACGAGTAGCTATTTAAATGTTCATATGTCTCTGAAACGTGTTCTCAAATTAGGTCTGCCGGCTCCTCCCAGTTCATTTGCAATTAGGAAAAATCCGAAAAAGATTACAGGATAAAATAATGAAAGGTTGGGGAATAAATATGCGAATGACGACATAATCTTATTTGTTCGTATTTTTCTCCCCAAGTTTCTTTATGTTGTTAGATACACAGATTCGATGCTAGCATAGTCTTAAGTGTGTTTCTCAGGTTCTCAGAATTGGTTTGGTCTCATGACCTTGTGCCCAATCAAGCCCTGATAGTACTCTGACTGATGTTTTGTGACCTTTACAGCTATGTATTTTTTTACAAATTTTGGATGCTTTATTTTTCATGGATGTGCACACTCTAGATCCTGGCAGATGTGGTAATGTGCGGTAATAATTTCCATGTTTTGGTTGTGTACTCATTGTACCCTAAAGATGTTACGGTGCAAAATTGGCCTGGATTTTCATTTTTCTGTTGCTGAAAATCAAATTAGCTTGAATCATGGGACTATGGAATAAATTTTCTTATTAACAACAGCATACATTATCTTTGGTATGTTGTAAATGTGTAAGAAAATAATCCCAAGGGGTCAGTCTCAAATGCAGTTGAAGTATATTTCTGGAGATCAATGAGAACTTAGAGTGAAAAACCTATGGAAACTCTTTCATTCTAAAGGTGCTATTATCTTTTGATATAGAAATAAGTTTATAACAAACTAAATTTTTGTATATAATGAAAAATATACAGTCCCATTTTGTCTACGAATGAAAAACTTGTAGTTCGAATATTTTCCTTGGGAAACTTTCACGATGCCAATCGCCAATTGGTTTAAATTGCGAAATTTCTTGTAGAGTTCCATGTAAAAGTCATCTCAATTGTGTAAGATTCTTATTGTTGAATGCAGGTGGTGTATTTTGTCAATTCTGGGACTGAAGCAAATGAATTAGCAATGCTGATGGCTCGTCTTTACAGTGGTAATCTAGGTATGATTGCTTTGAGAAATGCGTACCATGGTGGAAGTGCTGGGACTATTGGGTTGACAGCCCTCAATACTTGGAAATATCAGATCCCTCAGGTTAGCCTTGGACAATCGCTTGGAGTAACTACATAACACTGAAAATTATATCAATGAGGTATCTTTGCTCAGGCAAACGTGCTACTGATTTTCATTTCCCTCTTCCTTTTTTTTCTTTTTCCCAAGCATCATTAATTTATATTTTTTTTGCACCACTTTCTTCATAATAAGTGAGCAGCCTTCCAAGATGTTTCACACGTGTGTTTTACGCTCACCTTCGGTTTTCAGAGGTCCTTTCAGTCAATGGGTTGTTGTTTGTCTTATGTGGGCGAATAGGGGCTAATATTTTGTGCTCTTGCTGTTGACTACAAGTCAAGTCAAAAACATTTCTCTAATGATGTCATTAGGATTCATAATATTTCTCGAGCATTATAAAATTGGGCAGATGTTTGTAGTTACTAATGATGAACATGCATTGCAGTTGGTCTCTTGGTAAGCTCGATTTCATTAGAAGGGAAATTCATAATGTAAACATCTTATCAAATTTCCCTCGCTTTCTGGGTTTGCTAACTAACATGGATCAGATGTACTTCCAAGTTCATTGCTATCATTTTATTAAAAACCTGTATTCTGTTATGGGCAGTCTTTGGTTTCCTATGTCATGTCAAAGTCAAAGTGGGACATATCTCATAGTGGTGGGTTTCCTCTTTCAAAGTCTAATGGCGTGTGAATGACTCATTGTGCAACAGTTAACAGTCTAAGCCAAACTTTGGTAGCCATTTTAGAGCTATATATTTTCAACACCACGATTGTTAAAAATTTGGGTGGGGTAATCTTGGCTTCAAAAATAATTAATTTTTCTCATTTTTTGGGTGGAAATATCATGCAACCTTTTTTGAAAACAAGAAATGTGTTTGGTGTATTTCCATGTGTTTATGTGTGTTCAAAGTGTAAATAAATATATAATTAACAAGCTCTTACCACAATTATTCATGCATTATATGTTTTCCGGACTCTTAGAGTGCAAGAAAAACTCTTATGAACCGGGATGCAATGTATTGCTACTGGTGCTTAGAGATGAATGGCCCTACTTTGAAGATTCCAAGTCAATATGTGGACATCTACTCCCAGATTCTCAGCTGGAAAATAAATGGAAACATGTTGACATAATGATGATAATAATAATAATAATAATTCCTTTCTTATATTTTATTTATTGCCAAAATGTGTACTAATTCAAATAAATTCAGTTTCCTATCTGTCTTTGCTGATTTCTCTTCAAATTTCTTCAGGGTGAAATTCACCATGTTATAAATCCCGACCCATACCGTGGAGTATTTGGCTCCAATGCTGATGCTTACGTAAGAGAACTGAAAGACCATATCGACTATGGCACTCCAGGGAAAGTCGCTGGCTTCATCGCAGAGACATTTCAGGTTAGCTAATGAGTTCTGCCGTGCTCCGCAGTCTCTGCGCCGAAGGAGTCCCACTGAAAGAAAACTTCTTCAATCAAACCACAGGGTGTTGGAGGAGCGGTAGAGCTGGCACCTGGGTACTTGAAATCAGTCTATGACGTCATCCACCAGGCTGGTGGTGTCTGCATTGCTGATGAAGTCCAGAGTGGATTCGGCCGAACTGGAAGCCATTACTGGGGCTTTGAGACCCAAGGTGTCATCCCCGATATCGTCACGATGGCCAAGGTAAATCTCACATAGTTCTTAAGCACATAATGATTTAATCATAATTACCGCTGAGATTGTCATGACTGCCAAGATCTAGATACATTTCCATGCTTCTAAGTTCCCCCTACCCCTGGTAAATCTCAAATACTTCATAAACCATTGCTAAGTTCCATTGCCAAGTATTTTGGGAAATTCATGCTTGAAAATTCATGCCTGGTAGGGAATTGGGAATGGTCTTCCCTTGGGAGCAGTTGTGACAACTCCTGAGATCGCTCAGGTGATGTCTCAGAAGATCCAGTTCAACACCTTCGGGGGGAACCCTGTGTGTTCTTCCGGTGGGCTCGCTGTGCTCAGGGTCCTCGACAAGGAGAGGCGACAGTCCCACTGTGCCGATGTCGGCTCACATCTGATTGAGCGACTGAGGACCCTTCAGCAGAGATACGACCGTAGGCTTTCAACCCAACTCACACTATGCATTCATTTCCTCAATAGGCAATTATTTTATGCCTATGATTCATTGATTATCTCTTACTGAAAATATAAAGTTTGAAGAGCACCGACTAACTTATCTGTATTATTATAGTCATTGGGGATGTGAGGGGAAGGGGATTGATGCTGGGAATAGAGCTCGTGACGGACAAGAAGGAGAAGACACCTGCCAAGCTTGAAACAGCCGTGTTGTTTGAGAAACTCAAGGGTATCATCTTACCTCCTCGCATTACCTCCAGTCAGATATTCTCGTCATTTTCTATTAATAGCCATTTTTGTTCTTCACTGAAGATCTTGGCGTGCTGGTCGGAAAAGGGGGTCTCCATGGGAATGTATTCAGAATAAAGCCTCCTATGTGCTTCACAAAGGACGATGCAGGTCATCTCTTACCTCCCCATTCCGAAAAAAAGATCAAAAAATAAATAAATTTCCGTAATAATGTGGGCTTATACTTCTGGCCTTAGTATCATATATAGCTGCTGGTTGATATGCTGTTGTGTTTCATTTCATCTGCAGACTTCCTGGTGGACGCTCTGGATTATGCCATCTGGGGCATATGAGGTTCATTCGCCTCTTTGAGACCCATAAATTAAATTAGACAACTTTCCCATGGTCAAAAAATAAATGTCTGTACTGCTGCTGGTTTCTGCACAATTTCTGCAATACTCTTCTTTACTTGTTCTTCTTCGTCATTTTCCTTAGATAGTCCTAGTTCATAAGCTAATAATGAACCTACCCATTCTTCCTTGTTCTATTAGTGTATTTATTATCTTAGTAAGCCTATTGACTAAATCTCTAATTAATTCATTTCTTTGTCATTTTAAATGCCTCTAATTCATGAGTGATAAGACTGCTTCTTATGTCCTTGACTTGTACTATTCATTCATAAATTACTTTAAGTTAATCTCAAATTTCTTTGGTTGTTTCATAATTTCCAATCCTTTGAAATCAATTCATATCAAGAGTATAATGTATTATATTCATAGTCTTATCATTTAAAAACCTCAATTTCCTGTCTACATTCTTTTTATATTACACTCCATGCATTTAAATCAACCGTCATCATAAATATTCTCACTCTATTTTTCATACGTAAATAATATGATGCTTTTTAATTAAAAGTCACAGTCTAATAATAGATTGTCCTTTTTATATAAGTTCCATCAAGCTTCAACCATCTAACTATTTTTTATATTTTGAATAATTTATGCTAAGTTAAGGTTTGATATCGATTATAAAGTTCTTGATGAGTGAATAAATTAAGAAATAAGTGGAGAGGGAGTGAATTTGATTTTTCATTTTTCATTTTTCATTTTATTAACTACAATACCTTTTTTACTTTCGTAAATTAATATATATAAATATAAAATAAACCCAATAAGAAGTTGTTCACAAAGGGCACATAGCATAGGAACAACGAGTATAAGTGTCTCAGGTGGGTCAACAGGACGGTCAACCCTACCGACTTGAATGTCCTGACTTCCCGACCGAACAGGACATGGTTGACCATGTAACAATGTGTCATGTTAGGAGGGAGATTCTCACTCCTTCCCATATTAAGAGGGGTCCCCTTGGAGTGGAGGCGGGGAGTGAGCTCAATCCCTCTCCCTCCTTTTATTCTCAGACCGTTGACCGAGTGGTGGCTCTGGAAGCTGACTCGGACTCTTGGAAAACCCCATATTTTTGCTAACTAAAGGTAAATAGGTAAGCAGTCGAAAAATGGAAACCACATCCTTTGGTCAGCGTCTAAGCCCAGTGGGCCGCCTCCACACGGCTGAGGTACAAATAACAAATTCTCTAATTTTCAGGGTTTTATCAGAAAATTAGCAGTCATGTCTCTTTCTGATGCTTCTCAGAAGTTCGATCCGATCCGCCGCCAGCTGCTCTGCTCTCACAGGAGACGATAATACGCGGCGCCGGTGGCCTAGCTCCGACGGCATCATCAGGTGCCGCCCGTCCTCTCTTCGATCTCCCTCCTCCACTGTTTTTTTTTTCACCCCCCCGACGGTAGAGGAAGAGCGGCGGCGCAATAGGAGCGGGAGATTAGCGGGAGATACGGAGGAGGAAGGAGGTAAAATGCTTCTCATTATTTGGCCGGGATTATCGTCGTGGACTGGTTTTTTCTCTCTTTTTCGGGACCTGGAAGGGATATTATCAGTGGACCCTGTGGAATCTGGTAATCGCTCTCAGTGGCAAGCACAGCGGCCTTTGATTCCGCCGCTACGGGCTCTGGTCCCAGTATGTAGAATGCAAATCCAATACGAATATCCTATTGGATCGTATGTTTCAGAAGATCTGTTCTCTAGCGAGGCCTTGGCAGACTCCTCGGTGACGTGACTTACCTCTCTGCCTCGGTCACATTATGAGTACTGATTCCAATACGAAAATAATCCAGACAGCAAACTATTCCGTTAATAATCCTGGAGTTCTACTGATCTTGCTAATTGTAGGATTCCGGTTGCCTGCCAGAAGTTTAATTGAATAATATTTGTACATAGGTTGGTTCTGTTACCCTAAATATTTTACTCTCTAAACGAAGTTTTCAGAGTTTGGTCGAATTGGATTTGGCTTTGGCTTTGGCAATTGTTGTTATTTTCCGCCAGAATCTGGTTCTGGATTGAGGGAAATACCTGGAAGAACATACAGAACATGTTATGGATTTATCGGCCCAATTCAATTTACGATGCTAATAACTAGGATAGCGTCGAAAAAATATCCTGGAAAACCAGTTTATGTAGTTTATCAGCCCAAATCATTTTAGGATGGAAATAGCCAGAAGAACATAGAAAATATTGAAGAAAACCAGTCTATTTGCTGAATTTAGTCAAGGATGGAAATGGCTGGGCCAACAAAGAAACGCATTCAGGAAAACTAATTGTAGGAAAGGAAAAACTTTCCCTCCATCGTTCTCTTTTAGGGTAAGGACAACCTCCACTGAGACAGTCCAACTGCGTGCCCAAGACTGAGGAAGATGTGGGGTAAGGAAAGACCATGCTTGTTTAGACGCTCAAGGTTGGCTTGAACATGGTGGGAAAAACTCGGAAAGAATCTTTTTATTGTTGAGGCCTCATCCAGCTTGTAGAACAAGCCTGATTGGTCTCAGTCGGAAACTCTGATAAATTTTAAGCCCGATCAACTCAGGTTCCTCTGAAAACCTGATATAAGTGTGTTAATAAAACTATAAAATTTGATGATTTTTTTATTTTTTTATTTTTTATTTCGACAATTGCCAGCTTTTCCAAGCACCTGTTCTCAAGTAAGGAAGCTGGAAATGTCAGCGGGTGCTGTGATGTCTGTGATCAGTCATCACCGTTTGTTTATTGCCAGAGGTGTTTCAGAAAGACTACTTGCTTAAATTGCGATCGAGATTATCTACTTTCCTTTTATGGGGGGGGTGGGGGTTTCTCTGTGAATCTGGCTAGTAGAGTACTAATGGGCTTGAAGGATTCGACTGCATTTGAATTGTGTAGTAATCTTCTGCATCACAGAGGTAATAAGTTTAATGTTTTATTTTCTTTCCACAAATTCTTAAATTACCCTTAATTTGATTTCAAACCCTGAAATGTGGTGGAAAGACGATCTTTTGTTCTTTGATGCTTGCAACAACCTATTTCCTGTGAGGAATCTGAAGAGGAATCGCTGTGGTTTCTAAAACCATTTCAGTTAATATTTGTGGAAGTAAGAGATTTGCTTTTCTTCGGTAATGAATTGCTGTGATGTCTTCAACCCATTCTTTTGTTTAATAGTTTTCTTTTTTTTTTGTTGCAAAAAATATCAATATCATTTTTTTCGCCTTTCAGAAGATCGATAGTGAGATCAACACTCGAGTGGAGAAACCCTAGAAATTGCTCACCATGGAGACGAGAACCGAGATCGAGGAGACCTTAGAGTCACTCTCTGCTCTCAGGAAGAACCCTAATCATCTTCCCCCCGAGCACCCGCCGCCGCCAAATTACTCCGAGGGCGACGGCGGCAGCGGCGGCGGCAGCGGCGGCGGCGGCTTGATCGCCATCAGAAAGCTCCAGAGCCTGCTGTTCCGCCGCATGCTGGTGGGAGTCAACGATGGCCGCTTCTTTGTGGGCGCCTTCCACTGCATCGACAAGCAGGGGAACATCATCCTCCAAGATGCCGTGGAGTTCCGCAGCACCCGGCGAGGCCGCCCATCCCCAATGGAGCAGCGCTGCCTCGGTCTCATCCTAATCCCAACCTCTTGCCGGACCTCCTGCCACGTGGACTGCTCCGTAGAAGAACAGATCTCCCTCCTCTCTCTATGTAGCTGACGGGGACTTGCCGATCCAGGTGAGTGAACCGAATCTGATCCGAATCTGGTCCTCTTGAATAGAAGGCAACATAGCGAGAATTCTTGAGCTCTCCCTCTCTCTAAAGATTTCATTTCACCAAAAAAGATGATGTATTTTTTTATGACCCCATCGTAGAACTGTTTACAACGTAATATTTCAGAGAGGGAAAGAGCCAAATAATCTCTTGTTTTCTATATCCTTTGATGAGAGAGAGAGAGAGGGAGAGAGAGAGAGAGAGAGAGAGAGAGAGAGAGAGAGAGAGAGAGAGATGAGATCCATCATGCTCTGCACAGGCTCACCTCCCATGGCCTCTTTTTCAGGGAGATCTCCGCCAGTTCTTCTCCGTCGTCAAGGTGATTGACAAGTCCTCGTCATCCACCATGGCCAGGAAACCCTAGAGCTCCATCGATCCCAGGGCGCCGCTGCTTGCCCCAGGGGAGGAAGATCCAGGTCCGCTCCATGTCTTCTCCCTCGACGAAGAAGGAAAAAAAACCATGCTGCATCTGTTCATACTGGTTTTTTGGTAAGATCCACTTTTCTTCTTCTTCATCTTCTTCTGGATGAACATCGAATCTAACACCCCCAACTGGAAAAAAAATAAATTTGCCCGATTCTGCCCACCCGAGTCAAAGCGTCAACAACCTCAAGTCAACGGATTGAACCCATGAAGCAGTGCTCATTCCCTGCTATAGTAATTGGATCCGATCAATCTGATAGAATCTCTGGATGCCACCTCCAAAACCCTTTCCTGCTTAGATCACTATGCTCCACTTTGATCTTCTTCCTGGTTCTTCTGATGGGATTCCCACCGTCATCCAACTTCACCGTCACGTCCTCCTGGAGGATAATCATGCGGCACAAGATCTTAGCGTCTCCATTACCACAAAAAGAAAGAAGGAAAAAAAACCAGTTCTTGAACCGAGAAACCCAGACAAATCCAGGATTAATCCAGAGAAATGGAAACATGGAGGGAAACCATCTCCGTCAGCCGCCATTTTACCATTCAGCTGCTCACCTGGTCCCTGAACAGTGAGGACCCCTTTCGGAACATGGCCGGTAGATTGTTGTAGTTGATACCAAACTGCTGAAAGAGCAGTTCGTTCCTCTCACTTTCTTGGGTCCCCTGCACCACTTTACGAGATTATGATGAAATCATGCCCTACTTTATGAAATTTTGATGCATTAATTGGCCGAGAAATAAAGTAGGGAAAATAGTGAACAATAAATACAGCATGCTCTATCACACAACCTCCAGATATTCCTCCGCTTCGCTCTCTGTTCGTCCAGAATTTACCAACATCCATGAACAGGTGTTCTTCTGATTGAAGATGTGACCTACACATAATTTGACGTATATCCATCTTCAGCATACTTTTCCCACTCTGGATGCTATAATAACTCTTGATTATATTAGCACGGCTAAAAGGAACGAAAATTGCCAAGGTTTGATCGAAAAAAATTGTAAATATTTAACAAAAGTATGTTCATCCATCATGTTTGTGAGCTCAGAGAAATCTAGAAATATGAAGGTGGGTTTTGGATATTCCATACTCGTTTTTTTTTTTTTTGAGGTCTGCGCGAACCAAGTTCATCCTCAAAAACCAATGAATTTCTGAGAAAAATAGATCAACTGAAAACTATACTGTTGATCAACCAAAAAAGATAGAATGATTCTTACAGCACTTACAGTCATTTTGCCTCAACGACAGATAGTCTCTGACGAGCCTGGCACCTGGCCCAGGAAAGCACATAACCCGGCCATCAAAAGAAGGTGGATATACCAATTCCTGCTCGGGGAAGAACACTCTCCACTTCATCACGTACACAGAGGTGAAGAACGATACACTCAGAGAAAGCAATTTGCTGAAGATCAAATCACCCAATAAAAATTAAGCATGTCATTAAATTAGGAAATAAAAATTGATGAGAAACAAGTAATTATGGGCACCTCTCTCTTCTCTCATAGAATTTGGTCGTCTCCTTCCAAATGAAACTGAAAAAAAAAAAAAAGAGCATAAAACGTTGGTATTTAGAGAGAGGGAGGTTTACTGGATCAGCTCCTCAAGTCGTAGGCTCCATGAAATCTAAATCATCTCCATGCCATTCATCAGATTATGTCATGCATTTCCTCATCACAATCATCATATCAAATTAAGCATGTACTGACGACGATACATGTACATATTAATCGCATTAAAAACATACAGATATATATATATATATAATTATATATATATAGATATCTAGACAGCGAGAGAGAGAGAGAGAGAGAGAAAGAGAGAGGGGTTGGATGACCGAGTACTGCATTGAGAAGCCAAAGTGGAAGACCGAGTTGAATTGTCCCAAATCGATGCAACTTTAGCCCGAGTGCAATGCCCAAGTTTGTTTCAATCATATTTACTTCATCGATGCTCTTGAGTTACGTATTTAGCTCAAGAATTACCTGTATTCATGTCTAAAACCATAGGCAAAAACTATATCTGGAAATTGCTCCAATACTGAGATTGCACAGTTGTTCATCAGATTCAATGGGCGCTCGTCATTCGGCCTGTCGAAACCGTGGATCTTGGAGAACCTGCAAGTGTCCTCCATTATGAGGAGATAGATCGAAAGAAAGTTGGTGAGAGGAGCTGCCATACGATATCTGTTCAACTTGAATGACCAGTTGACTTTCTATTCCGGGAGAAAGAGAAGACAACGCGGAACGAATGGAGCTAGAACGTCTCTGTCTTCTCTCTCTCTCTCTCTCTCTCACTCATGTTTCAGAAAAAGAGTGAATGAAATCTAGCAGGGGAAGATTCTCATCTGCTCATTTCGATTATACCAATTAAAAGAATGTTAAGGATGGGTTCGAGAAACTATCTGCCAAATCAAGAATAGGGGATTCACTCGAGCTGTGATTCCGCCCCGAATCAACCTAGGGGTCGCCGGAAACCCTGGAAGAACACGTCTGGGTGGCGAAAGATTGATGAAGAGTTCGGCACGTTCGAAGGTAGAATGCTTCTGATCAGTGGCGGAAATCGGGAGTGCAAGCATTTTCTTCTGGCAACAGAAAAACCAGGGATGCATCAGTATCAACCTAGGGTTCGCCGAAAATCCTGGAAGAACACGTCTAGAGCGGCGAAAGATTGATGAAGAGATCAGTACGTTCGAAGGTAGTATGCTTTCGATCACGGCGGAAATCGTGGCAACGAGATCGAGGGATGCCTCAGAACGGATGAGTGCCACCGAGGTGACGGGATCAATTTCTCCTGGAAAGATGAGAACAGAACCAGTGGTTTTCAACTCTCGAGGTTTCGTTCATCACTCACCGGTGGAAATCGCAGCCATTAATCCTGACGACGATCCAATTGAACTTGGGCAGCCTGTCGTCCCGTTCCTGCTCCCTCACATACTCGTATTCACTCTTCGCCATGGCGACGCAGATCCTGGATTAAAGGTGAACGCCAGGGCCGCAACACCGCCCGCAAGAAGCGAGACAGATATATATAATAGAGAGAGAGAGAAAGAGAGAGAGATTCCTTGATCTGCTCCCGAGGGACTTCTCGGCTTAAGGCACGAAACTTGTTCGACGAAATGCCCGGCTGAGCCTCCAAGAGCAGTTCACCGGGTCAGTGTGTATGAAGAGAGAAACAGGAGTGAGATAGACAGTGAAGAGAGAGAGAGAGAGAGAGAGAGAGAGAGAGAGAGAGAGAGAGAGAACAGGAGTTAGAGAGAGTGTGCGAAAGAGATATAGAGAGAGAGGGAAAGAGAGAGATACAGGTTCTGTCACCGGTGACATCTCACCTCGTGTTCTTGGAGCGGAGGAATAAGCCATGCTGTGGAGGAAGAGGGTCCATCATTCCCTCGTCTCCCATTGTTTCCGGTCCTGCTGTATCCCCACCGCCGGCGATCTCCCCAGATGGCTCCGATTCTCCTCTTCGACCGGCGCCGGCGAAGCGCCACTGGCGGCGGTGACTCCGTTCCTGGTCGAATACCTCGTCGACTCCTGCGGATTCTCCCCCGCCGAGGCCGCCAAGGTCTCCTCTTCTCTCCCTCGAGTAGAAACCCTAGAAAAACCAGTCGCCGCCGTCCAATTCCTGCGCCACAAGGGCTTCTCAGAGGACGACGTTAGGAGCGTCATTCTCGGCTTCCCCATCCTCCTCCGCCGCGAGGTCGCCAAAACCCTAGAACCGAGGATCAGGTTCCTTCAGGAAGAGGGCTTCTCGATCCCCGAGATCTCTCGCCTGGTCTCCGCAAACCCTAGCTCCCTCCGTGTCTCCAACCTCGGAGAAAAGATCGAGTTCTGGAGGAAGCTGATGGGAACCAACGAGCGGGCTCTGAAGGTCCTCTCCGAGAGCCATGTCCTCAACGCCAGCCTCGACAGGAAGATCAAGCCCAACGTCTCCTTCCTGCGGGAGACCGGCCTCGCAGAGCACAGGATCGCCAGGATCTTGTCCAGGAGGCCCAGGCTGGTCACCTGCAGGCTGGAGACGATCCAGTCCCTCATCGACCAGGTCAAGAACCACGGCATCGCCATCACCACGGGGATGTTCGAGCAGGCCCTCTACGCCCTGGCCAATGTCAGCAAGGCCAAATTCGAGGAGAAACTGAAGCTGTTCCAGAGCTTCGGGTGGTCAGAAAAGGACTTCCTCTCTGCGTTTCAGAGGAGCCCTTTGCTTCTGAGAGTCTCCGAGAGAAAGATCCAGCAGGTGATGGGATTTCTGCTCGGAGAAGCTGGCTGCGAGCCTTCCTATGTGGCCCTGCGCCCAGTTCTCCTCTCCTACAGCTTGAGGAAAAGGATGATGCCCCGCTATTCCGTTCTCAGAGCTCTGAGGAAGAACAGCATTGCAGCAGGGGAGAACGATTTCCTGGGGACTGTGGTGTTGCCGGAGGGAAAATTCGTCGAGAGGTACATTCTCTCTTACAGCGAGAAAATTCCAGGGCTCCTCGAAGCGTATTCCATGGCTGTTGCCGAGGGAATCGAAAGAGAAGAACGATCCTGATTCATCTCAGGTGCAGCCGCAAACATGTTCTTGCTCTCAGATAGAAGCCGATCTGCTTCCTGCAAATCGGTTTATTTCTTGCTTGCTTTCGGAATTTAGAACACCCAGCTGAGATTATCGGAATTAGTTCGTGGGGGATGAGAATCGTGGATCAATTTCATATCTTGGTGGAGATTTGTGCATGATCTGATTGTCTCAGGAGATGAGATTGCCTCAGAAAGGTACTCGAACAGGTTTGAGATTGCATCTGCTTATCAGAAGTCCGAAGTCTGATTAAAACCCTTTTCGATGAAGTGACCGCGAGCATTTGACCATGGTATTGCATGCATCGTGGAATTGACGGTGGCTTCGGACAGGTCAACGGGCAGATGCAGAGAGAGAATCGAGAGCCCAGGTTTTGGTCAAGGTCAGGAGATGATGCTTGAATAGGATTGAGACCAACGGAATCGATGCTAAAAACTCATGGAATCATTGCCAGGATCGCCATCCATGTTTGCTGATGTTTTCATTTTCCTTTCATGGTATCTTCGCTTTTTTTTTTTTTTTGTAAGGTTATTTACTCTGATACGTTTTATTCTGCAGTTTTTTTTTTTCTTGTCTTGCTTTTTTTGGCAACAGAGGGTTTAAGTAGGCAAATATTTGTTATATGTCTTTGACTAACCCAGAATTTTCCCAACATGGTAGTCAAAGATCTTATCTGCGTTGACTTCCCCTCACCTCTACACCCTCCATGGAAATTCTTTGAAGGGTCTGAAATTGAGATGATTCCCGAATACTAGCCTTGATGAAGAAAGGAATCAAGGGTGGCTACCGCGCTTGCTATGCATTTTATGTTTAACAAGTTGCATGTGGGTTGACTTTTTTCCTCTGTATGTGAAATAGAGAAAATCATGAAAACCATTCTTGATGGAAGGGGGATCCTAAACACTGAAGCAATCAATCAATTTTTTATTTTTAATTTTTTTTCTGGGGGGGGAGGGGTTGGTGTTCAGGGAACGATTCCTCTGAATAAACTTCTATAATTTTTATTCGATATCTGGTTTCTGTAATTGACGATTCGTTGACTTTGTGGACCATAATTTCTAATTTTCTTTTGCTATTTTCCTTCTTTCCCCCCCCATTAATGTAGAACTGCATTGGGCTATGGGTTTTTTATGTCCCTGCAATCTCTCTCTCTCTCTCTCTCTCTATTACTAGCTCTTTTTTTTACATTTTAAAAACTCTGATATTTCACGAAGAAATGTTCATCATTTTATGGCAATAATATGTCACCAAAATCATGTTGCCTTCACCTCATTTAAATGGGACATAATTACCAAAAATGGGCTTCCAGTCAATATGCACTCATCTTATTGATACTAGTTTTCTTATTTTGTGTAAGAAATAACTAGAAAAATAAGGATTATTTATGGAACTGAATAAATTATATGGGTTCGTGGCAGTTAAATGGTCGGTTCCTTGCTAGATTCAGGGTTGCAATTTGGGGTTTTTATCATGCTTTTCTTATTTATTACAACAAATATAACACAAAAACAATTATTTCCCATATTTTAAAGCAAAAAATATTTATATATAAATACAGCCTTGGAAGTAGGAAAAGCAGCTGCTATCAGAGATTAATTGCCCTACAAGTGATTTCATTGAAATTTTTGGGTGCGTACCGTGTTGCAGAGTGCTGTTCTCTTCTGTCGACCGGCGGTCCCTCCGGCGGCGATGTGGCTTGCCGGGCAGCTGCGGCAGCTTCAGGCCTGTCGTCGCTGCCACCTCTTCTTCCCTCACTCCGGCGGCGCCCTCCTCGCCAGCCTCCGCCTCGTCTCCTCCGGTGAGCTCAGCGGCGGCGGCGCCGCCCACTTCATGGTCGACTACCTCGTCGACTCCTGCGGCCTCTCCACCTCTGAGGCCCTGAGGGTTTCTCTGAATCTTGCCCATCTGAAGTCGCCAGAGAAGCCCGCCACCGTCGTCCGCCTCCTCAGGGAGGAGGGCCTGGAGGTCGCCGACATCCGCTGCGTCGTTCTCAAGGTCCCTAGGGTGCTACTCGCCGGCGCCGAGAAGACTCTGCGGCCGAAGATCGGAGCCCTCCACGGCGCCGGCTTCTCTGGCCGGGACGTGGCTCAGATCCTCTCTGCAAACCCTAACATCGTCTTCTTCCGCGACGTCCCCCGTCGCGTCGAGTTCTGGAAGAAGGCCCTCGGCACGAACCAGAACCTCCTGAAAACCCTAAAGAGGGATCCTCGCCTGCTCTGCTACAGCCTGGAGAACAGAGTTGGCCCCGGGCTGTGCCTCCTCCGCGATCTCGGCATCCCCGAGGACCGACTGGCGGCGCTGATCGTTCGCAGACCTAGATTGGTCTCCGGCAAGCCGGAGAGGATCAGATCCCTCTTCGAATGGGTGAGGAGCTTAGGGATCACGCCGGATTCGAGGAGGTTCGTGGAGGCGCTCGCCTCCCTGGACAACCTCAGCAGAGCCACATTCGACGCCAAGGTCGAGCTCCTGAGGAGCTTCGGATGGACGCAGCAGGAACTCCTCTCTGCGATCCACCGGTTCCCGGTCATCCTGCGGTACTCCGAGAAGAAGATCCAGGCCATGATGGAGTTTTTGCTGAAGGTGGTCGGCTGCGATCCTTCCTACGTCGCTCGCCATCCAACCCTAGTTGGATACAGTATGGAGAAGAGGTTGATGCCGAGGTTCTTCGTCCTGCAATCCCTCAGGACGAAGGGAATCCCCACTGGTGGCAACTGCCTGCTGTCCGCCATGCTTGTCAGCGAGGAGAGCTTCGTGGAGAGGTACATACTCCGCCATGGAGAGGATGCTCCCGAGCTCCTCGAAGCCTACCGCGATCTCTGCTCAGGTAAAGCTAAAGAAGCTTCCGCCGGCGGCGAGTGACTTGCTCAGATCTCAAGGGAACCTCCTCTCCATGCTCGTCAGCGAGGAGGAGAGCTTCGCTCCCCAGCTCCTAGAAGGCTACCGCGGTCTCTGCGGATCGGAAGTTAGAGCTTCCGCCCCGGGCGAGTGAGCTGCTCGGATCTATGAGACGGATTCTCTCTCCCCCTCCCTTCTGGTCTCGTCGTCCAGCGCGGGAGAGTTTTGCTCTGTAGATCGCTTGGAAATTGGATTGCCGATTCATCCATCAGATCCGAAATTTTCGTGCAGGTTTTCTAGTCGATGTTTGCTCCGAGAGTTGGATACTCCTACGTTTTATCCCCAGATGAAGATTGATGCCCCAGAGAGAGAAGTAGATAGAGATAGATAGATGGCGAGAGAGAGAGAGAGAGAAAGAGAGATAGATAGATAGATGGATAGATACTAGAGAGAGAGGGAAATAGATAGATAGATAGGATAGCGAGAGAGAGAGCGAGAGAGAGAGAGAGAGGTTACTACAAGCCGTTACGATGTCTGGGTGGCTAACATGCTCGATTAGGTGCCTCTGAGCTGGTCGGTTATGGGCCTAATTTTCCGAGCCATCTCTGGGCGGGTAAATCTCTGATTATTCATCAAAATGGGGGTATAAATGTAATTACATATGAAAGGTGGTAGTTATTTTGAAAGGATACAAAGCGAGACGTACTCGGCAAAAGCCCCACCCAATGATACGCTCCTGCGTGGGTTCGGACTGACACGTAATCCTGGGCCACAGAGTTGCTCCCGAAGACAATCTAATATGTTGAAGGCGTGGGTACATACCGCTAGACACCGCAAGCGAGTGACTGTCCCCGCCGCCTCTCTCTCTCTCTCTCTCCCTCGGCTCTCCCATCTCGGACGGTCTTCTGTGAAGCTTGAAACCTAGTCCCGGGCTGGAGGAGGAGGGAGGAGAACTCCGCCCTTTCCTACCTCGGTTTCCGTAGCTTCCTTTCTCCGTCTCTCCCTGCTTCCTTGGAGCAGCGGATCTCTCACCGCCGCTCTCTGCGTCTCACGCACGCGGGACGTACACTGTCAGTTGCAAGTCTTTGGAGCTCCTTGCTGTCACGTCACGCAGTGGAGGGCTGTCTGGCTTTGTCGCATGGCGATCCTAGGGTTCGGAGGAGGCAGGAGGATCTGACAGAGGCAGCTTGGGACGGGAGGAATCGGTTTTTCTCCGGGACCAGGTGAGTGAGTCCGTTGCCTCATTTCCGGGTCTTCCCTGCGTTGGTCTTTCCCCTCCGATTATCTTTGGAAATGCACCAGGGTTTCCTTTGGGTTCGTGCCTTTCTGTCGTTGACTTTCTCTCCCTTCTCTTCCTCGCCTTTTTTTTGGAAAATTTTCTTCTTTATAGTTTTATTTTTATTTTCTCCACCATTTTTCCGCAAGGTCACGATGCGACTGTGGTTACGCTGTTCATAAAATTCGGCTTTATTTGTTCGATCGAACTCCATTGTATGCACGATGTTTCTTGACAATCAAAAGCAGCTAAAAATTGGATGATAGTTTGCAGGTAAATCGTCGGCAGCGTACCCATCTTTTGGAAAAATTTCTTCTTCTCGCTGTCATTGACACGCTTCTACACCTAAACCCTGATAAAGCATTGGAAGGACAATAGATGACAGATTCCCGCAGATCTTGGATTAAGAACAAATTATAAAAGGAGTTGGGTAACCTGGGAACCTTTGCAGATGGCCTTACACCTTGAGCCGTATTGCCTCCCCTATGCGTGAGATAATGACTGCTGTTGATCAGAAAGATGAATACATAGTTATGAATTTGTAACCGTTCGATTTAACCTGCTTTTTAAAAAAAAATTAAATTAAAATTTCTTGACCAGGATTTCTATGTTTGTGCTGGTGCTACGCTCATAATGATTACGAGGATGCTCTTTGTTAGCTGTAATTGCGCACAATAAACTATTTATGTATCTCATTTTATAATTTTATTTGATTCTATTTTGATACAGTTCAAGGTTCTTTTCAAATGTGTCAACCATTGACAAAGTAGACTTCCATTCAAAAGGGATGCCATGGCTTCAAAGGGCCCGAGGTCGAGATTGGATCCTGAGTCGAGAAGTAAACGTCAAAAGGTTGTTTTCCAGATTTTGGTGTTGTATTTCGTTTAATTTGCTTCAGGTCGTTTTGTAGCTTTATTGATCGGTGCACACTTGGTATATGTGGCTCAAGGAAGAAACTGGTAGTTTTTAGCTCGAGTAGGGGAACAAAAATGAAGTGTTTGTAAAACCTTTGGCCGAGTTTGGAAATTGCGCGGTCTATGAGGGTTTCTGCGTCATGTTTCCTTTCACCTTGACTTCTCTCTGGATCTAAGTTTGTACTCTATAATCAGTTTTTCCTCATGTCTACCGGTTTCATGGGGAAACTTTTGGGAATTTCGCTGTTGAAGATCACTTTACTGTCACAGGGTTTATTCCAAAAGGCATCGCATCACCCTTGTTTTGGATGCAGCTGACTGAGTTTAATTTTCTCGTATTGCTCCCTGCGAGAGAAATGCTGTTTGATCTGCTTATCGGTTCTGAAAGAAAACATTATAAATTTCTTTGAAAATCCTTTTTTGTTTCAATTATTCTTTCTCCTTGAGAAAATAAGGCTGAGTTTCTATCTATAAACCTTAATGTGTGAAACTTCGCAAGCTTTCTAACTCTGTGTTCATAAACTACGTTTTCTTGGTGAAAATTTTCCGTTTTGAAATGTTTCTACCTTCTGCTTTGTGAAAATTTTGTTTCTAAACTACTTAGAAGGTTGGTGCTTAGTTCTGTCACATTGGCAACTCACATACTCTCAAGGATTTATTGTTATTTCACCCTACATTCAAGGAGATAACCTATAGATAGAGGATGAAAGCTCTTTGGTTTGGCCTTGTCATACATTCTATATTGTGAATCTCCTACCTTCCATTCACATATTTTGTTTTTGATGTCATAGATTACTTTAAATTGCTCATTTGCTCTGAAATCCTGGTGATACTTGGGACTAAATTTAATTCATTTAGTTTCACAAATATTCATGCTTATTTTCATCTGAGTTGGCAGGCCCTTGAAGCACCTAAGGAACCTCCTCGACAGAAAACTCATTGGGATTATGTTCTAGAGGAGATGGTTTGGCTATCGAAGGTAATTCATTTTTTAGGATTATTTTTCATGATCGAGCTGTTTTAGCTGCAAAATTTATTTTTAAAGAACTAAATATGCTTATCTAATCGTACCTTAAATCTCGTTCTTTCAGGATTTTGAATCAGAGAGAAAATGGAAACTGTCTCAGGCAAAAAAGGTTGCTGTACGTGCGAGCAAGAATATGCTAGATCAAGCCACAAAGGGGGAAAAGAAAGTGAAGGTTTGGCCTATTGCCTTACCATCAACTTCCTTGACGTTTGTTTTGATTGAAATAAATGATAAGAGTGAAATAGAAGAGAATTCAGAGCATATAGTTATACCGTTTGAAAAGCAGGCCTGTCAAAGGGGATGATGTGTATGAGATTGAGTCCACAAATGCAACACAAGCATTGAAAGAAATTTTTTAAAAGTAGTTTTCGGTTCCCATTTTGGCCAAAAGTGACGGATGATGTTTTAACTTGTGGTATTCTGTACTTTCCAAGCTTTCTTATGGATTGATTCACTTTTGGGCAATTGATCAAATATTTATTATTTTCTTGGAAATGAAATTTGATCAAAATTGGCACGAAAATTGTACCAAACCACGAACATATTCAGTATTCATTTCATCATCTGAAGTATTTCTGGTTACTCTACAATTCAGGAAGAGGAGCAGCGTCTGAGGAAGGTTGCTATCAATATCTCCAAGGATGTGAAGAAATTTTGGATAAAGATAGAGAAGTTGGTAAGCATGCATTCTTGAGACTCTGTAGTTACGATCAAGGATACCAACTTTAAACTTTAGCAATTTGTGATGTTACGATTCCGTTCGATATGCTTTATTTCTTTGTATTGCTTCTCAGACATTTTTCCGTTTCTTGTACGAAACTCGTACTGTAGCTCTCTAAAAATAATATGATTTCAGGTTCTTTACAAGCATCAACTTGAGCTTGAAGAAAAAAAGAAAAAGGTTCTTGATAAGCAGCTTGATTTCCTTTTAGGCCAAACTGAAAGGTAAGTTGTTTTTGTGCTTTGACACAGATTGAGTCATGATTTATTTCCCTTAGTTTCTTTCTGTAATTGCCAATGACCTCTTATTGAGTGAAAGGTCTTATATACCTTCAATCATATCTTTTCCAGATACTCCACAATGCTGGCAGAAAATCTTATGGATAAGCCACATTATTCTAAATCCGAGTTGGAATATCCTGTAAAGGCTCTAACTTATTATCCAAATAAAGAAGACAATGAGGGCTGTGCAGCTGGTACAGGTTCTGATGGTTAGCTGTACAACTCAAACTTTTATGAAGATTTACATGTGGATACACTAATTTTATGGTGTAACTTTCAGACATGATCAATGGTCGAAATAGTTTTAAAGAAACTTTTTTCTTCTTGCAGAAATATGGTCGGATGCTGTTGAAAACGATGACGATTATGGTATCCAATCCGAAGATGACATGGTCAAGCTTTGTTCTTTTTTCTACTCTTTTGTATTATTTTCCTTCTTTGCACTGATGTTTGGTTCTTATAGCAAGCTTGTGTTTGCTGAGACATGATGGGTTGTACGTTCACTATCCATCCAATCTGTACTTATCCCCCCAGCCACCGCTATCGCACACAAACACATGCATACAAAGGCCAAAAAGAGAAATAAAAATAAGCCAGGCACACATGACAAAAAAGGAGAGGGTTAAATACTATAACTGGAGTGGGTTTCAAATTCTAGATAGATATTTTGGTCATAAGTTACCACTGGTCATGCTTTTAGAAAGTTTGGAAACTGCTTGGTGAACCTATTCTTGTCTTTCGTCAAGTTTTTCTGTTAACAAAATCTTTGCAAGCAGCCTCCGAAATGTGGAAATTTATTGAGATGGGGTCAGAAAGTTAACCTTTCTTGACATAAAACTTGTGACACAGTGTTTGTTGTTTTTTTTTTTCATGAGAAAGAAAGCTTAAAATTTTCTCTTGACACCCTCTTTTTAATTAGAAAAATATATTTCAGAAACATTGACAACTTTTCCAGTTTGTCATTCAGGATCGTTTGCCAAATATTCGCTCTTAACTTTTGATTGTTGTAGGAAGATGATGAGCATACTCTTGAAGAAGATGAGGCTCTTATAACTGAGGAGGAGAGGAAGGACGAATTAGCAGCTTTGCAAAATGAAGTTGATATTCCAATTGAGGAAATACTAAAGCGTTATCAGTATAATGGTAAATTCTGCTTTTTCTAACATATTTTGGATAATCAGTATTGATTGAATTCCTGTTTTTATCTTCTGAATTTTAATCATTGAAATTATTCTCAGTTAGTATGGAAGACGGTCCAGAAAATGCAGAAGATTTGTCTGATCAATCTCCAATGTTGGAAGACCAAAGTAAGGGCAGGCATCACGAACATGACTGATCAAATTTTTCTGTTAACTCTTGTTCCTTTTCTAACACTTCAATGAACTTTCAGTCTCTGGAAAAGGAGCTAATGATTCTCCGATTGTTGAAGATGCGACACGTGACGATAATCTTTTTGCAAGTGGCATAGATGACACTTCTTTGCATGTACGGCCTGGAAATATTAATAATTTCTTGTTTCCCGACATTTTTTTGTAAGTTATGCATCAATTATTTGATGCTGTATGGTCGTCAAAATTTTACCTCGTGTGATTTCTCTGTTCCTTGCTGTTTGCAGGAGGGGAGTGATGGTGAGAGACTGGTTTCAACCAAGACCTTACGATCTAAATTTCAGTCAAGAAATTCCACCATGCTAAATCAGGAACATCTGCCCCTTGATTCTATTGACGAAATGGTATGTTTATGATAAATTCTAAGCAGTGAATTTGAATCGAGAGCTTCTTTAGACAACAACATGATAGATGTATCACGTTATCTGAATTTTTATCAATATACTCTCCCTGTACATACCATTTGAATAAATGTATTGCTTGCAAGTCTCTATGAACCCTGCGCATCAAAATATGATAAACGAGATAACATTTCTCACTACTGGAGAAACCAATTATGAACATGATTATTAGTTTGACAATCTTTGATATGTTATTGTAACCAGTGAATTTCGGACAACTACTTAACCAGTTGATAATAAATTATCTGCATTTCAGTTGCAGCAGGCTAATGAAGAGTGGATGACGATTGTTGTGTGAGATGTAAGAGTAGTAAATATACTAAACTATGATGAATATGCGAGTTAGGAATCACCCAAAGTCCACGTGTTGGTGTTGTAGTTGGTTTTCTAGTTTTGTAGGCCTCATTTCTATTGCGAATAATGATACTCCTGGTTCCATGATCAATATGATTTCACAGCAATACCATCTGTGAGAATGGTTGCCGGGGAAAAGGGCTGCAAATTCAGGAGGGCACTTGCTTGAAATGAGTTGTCATGTTTTTAAAAGATGCCCTGCGTATTTGTTGCATCTCAATTGCATTGGGAAGCACTAATTTTGGTCCTGATGTTCTTTGGCTCCTCCCCCATCCCCTGCACCCCTTGAAAATAAAAAAAATTCACATGAGATGATAAAGAAATGGGGATGTGATCTCCTTACATTTCTGTTTATGAATGCAGTATCAGTGTATGCATGACAAGGGAGTTGATTTTGCCAGTATTCTTTTGAAACATATGATCATGCCTCCAAAACAGTTCCTTAGTGAAGATAATAATAATAGCTGATGAAGCGCACAACTAACAACCTGTTTCCGTCTGTCAGGATGATGGGGACTTTGTTGGCGCTACTGAAGAAGAAAAGGTGCACCTGGTTCTTCATGGCTTTGAGACTCATTTGTTAGATGCTTCATTGCCACGCTATATTGATTTGAGTTTGGTCTCATTTAGTGGTTTCTTGCTGAACAAAGTCACATTCTTGGTTTGGTATTTCTTTTTTCTTTATAAAAATGTTGTCCAAACATTAGCCATATATGTGTAAGTTTTTACTCTGTCCGAGGCAGTGCTTGATTTGTGTATATATCCCTCTGCTTTGTTGTAATGCAAGTTCATTGAAATTTGTTTAGTCTCTTCGGTTGAACCTTGAATATACTTGTCACGTAAATAATCTGTCATTGCCCTACATCATGTGATGGGCTGGCTACCTGAATCGTTGGAGTGGTTTCTATTTTCCCACTCTCATTTTCATGTGCATACCATTCTTGGCCGATGCCAAGATTATCAGCAGAAGCTGCCAATATATACACACCTTATCTATTATCAATCACATATGTTTTAGCGGTGAGATTTCCTTGCATGCATACAATCCCAGAGGTGATTGGCTCGGAGTTAGTAACTTCAATGGACTTTGGGTCCTTAAGTTTACTTATTGGTTGATGATGGTTAGTGATACCAGTGGAAATCGGCTGATTTGCTTTCTATAGAGCTAACCTGTTAAATTTAATCTTTATTACATGTTTGAGTGTGTCGGACATCATATGTATGAACTTATCTAATCACATTTATGCAGGATGATGAGACGACATTGTCTGAAGAGGAAGAGTTGGCCAAGAAGGAAGTTGATGACCCTTTGCACGAGGTGAATATCTCATTTTGTAGAGTGTGAATGTTGTAGTTGGTCTGCCCTTCGCTATGAGTTTTTAGTCCCGATTTTTATGTGGGGGTAGGCACTAAGCACTGCCAAAGTTTTTCGTTTTTGGAGGCCTCGAATGTTGTATCTACAGAGGATGGTTTATTGGACTAATATAACGAACCTGTGTTTGACAGCTTTGTATTCCTTTTGTTTGCTTTAAGCCAAAAACATATTTACGATTTGGCTTGTGTTTTGCAGATTGAACTGTTGCAAAGGGAGAGTGAAATGCCAATAGAAGAGTTGCTTGCAACATATAAAAAGGTAGGTCTAATCATATGCTCTCTTCCTCAGATGCTTAATGCCAAACCTCTAATGATAATGCCATTTTTCTTTGGATTTTTATTCTGTCAATGGTCCGCAGATTGACTCTGAGCCCACTTCATCAAGCTCTGATGATACTCAAGATTCTGCAGCAGATCAGGATCCTCCTTGGAATAGTCAAGTTGTTTCTAATGATAACTATTCGGTGGAGAAGGTCAGAAAAACTGACATCGAAGTCTCTCAGATCGAGGTGGAAGACATGGGTGTGAAACCCAATCAAGACTTAGAGAATGGGAAAGAGAGTGAAGACATCATTGCTGATGCAGCTGCTGCTGCGAGGTCAGCACAACCCACCGGTAACACTTTCTCGACTACAAAAGTGCGTACAAAGCTCCCCTTCCTTCTTAAGCATCCACTTAGGGAGTACCAGCATATCGGCTTGGATTGGCTGGTCACAATGTATGAGAAGAGACTGAATGGAATTTTGGCGGATGAAATGGGCTTAGGAAAGACAATTATGACAATATCCCTTCTAGCTCATTTGGCTTGTGAGAAAGGGATATGGGGGCCTCACCTCATTGTCGTCCCAACTAGTGTCATGTTGAACTGGGAGACTGAGTTTCTCAAATGGTGCCCTGCCTTTAAAATTTTGACTTACTTTGGGAGTGCAAAAGAAAGGAAGAATAAGAGGCAAGGGTGGTTAAAGCCCAATTCTTTTCACATATGCATTACAACATATAGACTTGTCATTCAAGATTCAAAAGTTTTCAAGCGAAAGAAGTGGAAGTATCTCATTCTTGATGAAGCCCATTTAATAAAAAATTGGAAGTCACAGAGATGGCAAACATTATTGAATTTCAACTCAAGACGACGAATTTTGTTGACAGGGACACCTCTGCAGAATGATCTCATGGAACTTTGGTCTTTGATGCATTTTCTAATGCCTCACATTTTTCAGTCTCACCAGGAATTTAAAGATTGGTTCAGTAATCCAATCACTGGTATGGTGGAAGGCCAAGAGAAGGTAAACAAAGAAGTTGTTGATCGGTTGCACAATGTGCTTCGACCCTTCATATTGAGGCGCTTGAAAAGGGATGTGGAGAAACAACTTCCCCGGAAGCATGAGCATGTCATATATTGTCGTCTCTCCAGAAGGCAGAGAAATTTATATGAGGATTTTATTGCTAGTTCAGAAACACAGGCAACATTAGCGAGTGCAAATTTTTTTGGAATGATAAGTGTTATTATGCAACTCCGAAAAGTTTGCAATCACCCAGATCTCTTTGAAGGTCGCCCTATCATAAGCTCTTTCGACATGTCCGGTGTTGAGTTGCCGTTGAGTTCTGCTGTCTGTACAATGCTTTCCGTTGGACCATTCTCCAATGTTGACATAAAGGGCTTGAATTTATTGTTCTCTCAAAATGATTACGACATGACATCCTGGGAATTTGGTGAAGTCACTGCCATCTCCGGTTCCAATGGTGTTGAATCTGAGGATGAAAGGATCTCTAACATTGAGATTCTTAATGAAAGGAGAAACCATGGGGCAAATATTTTTGAGGCAATTCACAAGGCTCTTTTGGAGGAAAGAGCAAAAGAGGCAAAAGAAAGGGCAGCGTCCATTGCATGGTGGAACTCTTTGAGATGTCAGAAGAAGCCTATGTATGGAACGAATTTAAGAGATCTTATCACCATAAAGCATCCCGTGCTCAATATCCATGAGCAGAGGAGGAGCCCTTCTTGTTATCTGAGCTTCTCATCGAAATTATCTGATATTGTGCTTCTACCAGTGGAACGCTTACAAAATATGCTTGAGATAGTTGAATCTTTTATGTTTGCTATCCCTGCGGCACGAGCACCTTCACCACTTTGCTGGTGTAGTAAAGGAAATTCCCCTGTTTTCCTTTCAGCGGTTCAGAGAGATAAATGGTCAGATGCTTTTAGCCCTCTTCTGACACCCGTCAGACCAGCTATTGTGCGTAGACAGGTGTATTTTCCTGACAGACGTCTGATACAGTTTGACTGTGGCAAGTTACAAAAGCTTGCTGTCTTGCTTAGGCGTTTGAAATCAGAAGGGCATAGAGCTTTAATTTTTACTCAGATGACAAAAATGCTTGATATATTGGAGGCATTCATTAATCTCTATGGTTACACATATTTGCGATTAGATGGGTCGACCCAACCAGAAGAGAGGCAAACGTTGATGCAGCGGTTTAATACAAATCCAAAACTCTTTCTTTTCATTTTATCAACACGCAGTGGAGGTGTTGGTATTAACTTGGTCGGTGCAGACACTGTTATTTTTTATGACAGTGACTGGAATCCTGCTATGGATCAGCAAGCTCAAGACAGGTGCCACAGAATAGGTCAGACTCGGGAGGTGCATATTTATCGATTAATCAGTGAAAGAACAATCGAAGAAAATATCCTAAAGAAAGCAAATCAGAAACGTGCACTTGATGATTTGGTAATACAGAGTGGTAGCTACAATACAGAATTCTTCAAAAAACTTGATCCATTGGAACTGTTTTCGGGCCATCAATCAGTTGATGTTGAAAATCTGGAGGATCCAATGGCTGCTGAAGGTTCGGGAGAAAGATTGGGAGACTTATCAAATGCGGATGTAGAAGCTGCTCTAAAGCAGGCTGAAGATGAAGTAGATTATATGGCGCTAAAAAAGGTTGAACTGGAGGAGGCTGTTGAAAATCAAGAGTTCACTGAAGAGGCCATTAGTAAACTAGAAGATGATGAACTTGTCAACGAAGATGATGTAAAAGCTGATGAACTGCCTATAAGCGTTAATATGGATGATGTGAAACCTGATAAGAAAACCAGCGAACAGAACTTATGGCTTTCTACAGTGACAAATCTTGGTGATGGTTCTGCTGGTGTGAATCTCTCAGAAGAAAATGTTCTGTTCTTGGGCCGGAGAGAAGAAGATATTGACATGCTAGCTGATGTCAAACAGTTGGCAGCGGCAGCAGCAGCAGCTGGACAAGCAAGTTCTTCGTTTGAGAATCAACTTCGACCAATTGACAGATATGCTATGAGATTCTTAGATCTATGGGATCCTATAATAGATAAATCTGCAATCGAGGCTCAAGATAGTATTGAGGGGGAAGAGTGGGAGCTTAACCGCATTGAAAGGTTCAAGGATGACCTCGAAGCAGAAATAGATGAAGATGAGGAGCCTCTGTTATATGAAAGTAAGTACATATTTTCAGTATTCTGTATGCTTGGTGATCTTTTTTCTCATTAAGTTTTTTTTTTCTTGCCTTCAAAATCTAGAGACATGTCAATTTTAGATGCTTGATAGTACTGTGATCGCGGGGACCACGAACAATAGAAAAGTTGAAGTCATTATAATGACAATTGAGATACTGGGTATGAACCTGGTCTCCATTGTTATGTCAAGATCAGTCATCAGACGGAATAATGGTGCCCTGGTGTAATTCTTACATTGCCTTCCCTAAACTTGGCTGAAAAAAAGTTGATAGAAGATAAATAGTTGCCCATTGTGAAAATTTGTGCTTAAGCAACATCTATTTCCCTTTCTTTACTGAGAATATTTACACATTAGATACCTAATGTAGTAGATTAGCTGAAGCCTGCAACAGGACTTGTGATTGATACTTCCGTGTGTTCAGTTTCCATAATCGATAGCTCTGTGCTGCTTCCCATACATGTCCTTTGCCGGTTTTAGTCAAGAAATCTCAGGAGTAACGTAACTGCAGGATGGGATGCCGATATTGCTACTGAAGCATACAGGCAGCATGTTGAAGCTTTAGCTCAACAGCAGGTATGCATGAACTCAGGACAAGTTGAGCAATTGTTATGAGAATCAACCTGTTTTCTTACCTTTAATTATTACCCAGATGATTGAAGAACTAGAGTGTGAGTCTGAGGAGGCAAATGCCGTGGACGATGGTATTTCTGAACCTACCAGGTAAGGGATTGATATTTACCATTCAGTCTAGCAGTTTTCGTCCTTTTGACCTCACTAATATTTTCTTACTCT